AGGGATAGTCGTGGGCTTAGGAATCGAGATTGATAACATACTAATCAACCCGTCATTCCCGCCCTTGCTGGAATCGCCGCCTCTCACCGTGGTCAAAAAATGTTATTGACAGCTCACTGTCTTGCCAACTCATTTCGCGAGAAGGGGTCAAGTACCAAGGTCTCTTTTTCGGGTCGCCGGTTTACTGGAGTAAGGCTGCACTTGCCTCGTGGCAAGCACAGCAATAGCGGGAGGTGTGGTGTGTTCAAGGTGAGAAAATATCTTCTGGAACGCTGGTAGACTGGGGGTAGGCACGTGGATATCAGCCATAGCGAAATGCATACTTGATGTTGTGTGCCGGGTAAAACATTTATTTTTTACGGGTCTCTAAGCCAACCAGACCCGCTCGAAATTAATCACGTGAGTGTGTGTACACGTGGGACTGAGTGTTCTGTACGAGCTTAATTGGAAGATAACCGTGGTGGCATGGATTTTTCTCTAGGGCCTATCTGGTTATTCCCTCCACAATAAGAAACATGCATCCAGTATTTAGCTCCTATACATTTCTACACGATAAGCCACTTCGTTGAGCTATCATTTGTGGCCAGGTCGCTTCTGAAAAAGAGCTACACAGTATAGCTGAGTGGAGCTTACCTGATTAAATAAAAATAAATTGTTTCATAACATCTCGCCGATATTGCAAGATGCTGCCCAACAAAACGACGTGATGAACATTCCATCTCACGTGAGTGTGAGCGGGTGGGGGGGGGGGGATTTCCACCAGAAGTAAATGGCACCGAATACCGACCGCATTTTAACTGAGCGTTTCCAGTTTTGGCAACTCCTCTCAAAGTGACTCCGAGACGAATAACTTTGTATGAACCGCTCCTGAAGGAAGTTACTGCGGTTCGTGTTCTGCTGTACGGCAGTGTAAGAGTGACTAAGGCGATAAGTAATTTCCAGTCTGTGCAGTACACGTTGCCCATTCTTGTATTGTATATTATACACAGGTCTCATAACCATCTGGCCTACTTCACCACACTTACAGAGAACATATCTGTGTGTAAAGAACAAAAACGCGCATTAGAGTTAAACTGTACTACGCAATGTGCTGTCTATATATACATTACACACTGCACACACAACACATAAACAATAATGATGATGTGTTTTTAAGAGCTGCACTCCTTTACGGCCGGGCGTTCCAGAGTGCTTTAACATCACATCTTATACGAATACATTTGAAGGGGCACCCCCAGTGGCAGCTGACCCGGTGGGCACAAGGTGGGTCGACACCTGGCTGGCACATGGGCATTAGTCTGTCAGTAAGGGGGCGATTAATGACTGCGGTATGCAATCCAACAATACATAATGCATACACAACAGGAACACAATGCTGTACACACGACATTCTCTCTACTCCTACGTATGTATCACATACATATACACCCCATAAAAACACACATACTATATACACAAAACAGTGTACAACACACAATACATACTACACAACACAGCTGTACATAACAAATACGAACAAATCTTGAACTGCGATCAGAATGGGCAAAAGTGAACGGGATATAGCTGGTGCCAGCTAAGACACAAGGAAATTAGATCTCTCCTACTTAACAGCAACCTTTGATATCGGGGGGGGGGGGGGGGAGACGTTAATGGTAAATTAACGAGCGGGGGGGGGGTTAATCAAGAGTTTATGGGCGGCAAGGTGGAACAGTGGTGGCCACTCTTGCCTCGCAGCAAAAAGTTCGATTACAGACTCAGGTGCCTGCGTGGGGGTTTTGTACGTTCTCTCCGTGTTCTGAAAAGGGTTTTTTTTCCCCCCTCCTTTGAGTTCTCCGGTCTGCTTCCAAAGCTAAAATTACACACGATGCAACAGCCCAAAGCTGAAAGGGCCATCCGTCCAACCACACCACAACCACTGCAGGTCACAGAGCACTCCTCTTTTTTGCTTCTTCCGTCTGCGCTGCTCCATCTCAGAAATGCCCCTACCATCGTCTTAACAACAAGGACACAACTCGATTTAAGAAAGAGAAAAAAAAACGTGTCGTGCTCTTTTTTCGACGACAACTGTTTGCTGCTGGCCGTTTGACGTTTTTCGGGACCTTTGGAGCCCATTAAATAAATGAAACAACGCAACACGCAAGACGGAATAGGTGACACGTCAATGTTGGTGCGCAGGAAGGATGTGTTTTGTTGGCCTTCCCAACTCCAAACTTCCAAAAATAGCCAACCCATCATCATCACTGGGGGGGGGGGCGAGGGATAAATGAATTAAATAATTGCATGCATACAGTAATCTCCGTGCCACGCGGGAGGCGAATCAAGATGATGCACATATGATGTATCTTGGCAACAACACCGCAGGCAGGCAGGCAATAACACTTGTACTCGTAATAGAGTACCGGCGATTCGTGAATAACACAATCACGGTGGTGAAGTTTAGGAACGAATAAAACGACAACATCGCGCCGCACAGTTTACACGGGAGTGATCTTGGCAATAACAACCGATGGCCGAGCGGCATTTGCATGACAAGCCAGACTGCCGATGCGAGCCTGAATGTCGAAACCGTTCCACGGTCTTGCTTGCTTCAAGCAAAATGTTGCTGGATAAAACGTGTCCGAAAAAACGGATGGCCGGCCCATGGGTTAAAACATATGCGTACTTACGTGCGAGACTAATGGCCATATTTCTGCTCATATTATTTGACACAAACATGCTTTCTCTGTCATCGTACTCATCAGGCGTGATCAACCGACTGCTCGATAAAAGCCTCAGCAATCACTCGTTCTCTTTAACAGGGAAACAAGCGCTGTGCGGCTACAAGGTAAAATATATGTGGGTTTCATACACATCCGTACTCTTAAAACTAAATTGAAGTCCATGCATCTAATAGCATCATCCCTGGACCGAGAGCCTTTGATATTTTAATAATCCTGTTATTCCCAGTCGCCACGGATTAATGGTTTAGCTGGGACAACTACCCCAGGCAAGATAAGTACAGGAGTGTCGGTTCATGTGGTCACAAGCCCCGACCCGCCTTTGTCTCCCCTAGTGTTCCTTAATCTTAGTTGTCTTGTGGTTGTTGCTATTTGACTTCCATCCCACTGGGATTTTTGCACACAGCGTTGGTGTACGGTGCTATTTCAGGAATATTTTGATGTTTTTTTCCTGGATTTTCTGTTTGCACAGTCACATTATCACTTTAAGATGTTTTCTTGTTCATGTTTTTGTTTGTTGCGGTTGCACCCGATTCAAGAGCCGAATGGCTCACAGGGCTATACCAAATAAATGAACTATGGAACTATCCTGCTAAGCACAACGCAGCGATCAAGGCAGCGTATGAGACGGACGTAATTTTTTTTTAGGCTGGGTTGACCTAGGGGTGAGGACCGAAGCTGGTTACAGAACCACAAGACATCAACTACCGAACCTCCAATTAGTACGGTTGGCTATGTACGGTGCGAAAGAAGTTCTACATACATATACAGTATACAACCGCCAAGTGTGTACAGTATTCGATATCTATTAACCTGGGATTCGAAAAACGGAGTTAGGAACTGGGATTCATTTGGCGAACCACGCCACTTTCTCCAGAAACGCAGACCGAGAGACAAGGCAGGTAAGCGGGCACAAACCATGGAGAGCCATGCAAGCAAATAGGCAGGTAGATGGGCAAAGATATAGAGACACGGGTAGATAGACAAGCGATAAGCAAAGAAACAGGCAGACTGCTCGAGAGATAATGGGCACAAACGAAACACGTTTGTGGCAACGCTAGTCTGGCCAGACCCAGAGGTGCATTAAGCCACGTATGCTCTTGACCACAAAAGAACGAGCTTAAAATCCCACACCCCTCCTAACCTCGAAGAAAGGCACGCCCTTGCCTGGTCTCAGCCAGGTCACTTTTGTATACCCGCAAACATTGATACTGGCTTTGCCGAGCAGTCATATCAATGTCGATACTGTGTTACATATCAACCAGACCCTGTGGTTGGAATCGAACCGTGTGAATTCCTGTTGACTATATTACGTTGTCGCTGGAAATTACACCCTGTCATCAGCCGTATTGTAAGCGCGGATGTAATTGGGTTGCCGTAATTATATTGTATGATTGAGCTCAGATGGCCACCCACGTGTTAATTCATGTAACCGTTCGTTCTGGATTTCATTCATCTTATCCATCCAGCCACACAGAATGTCCCATTAATCCAATCATTAATTCAGACATTCACGAGTTCATCCACCCAGCGGAATCTCAACCGCAGTACAATTACCGTACAGGGATTACGACGGTAGATGTTGTACATAATTAGAAGTAAAGCAACATGTGCGTAACTACGTAATCTGTTTATTTGAATGAGACAATACAGGGGTAATGCATTGCAGGGAATGTAAAACACACCCATTTATATTGTCCAAACGATTGTAAAATTTAGGTGAAAAAACAGGGACTTGGCTCTTAAAATGTAAAAAAATATCCTTCCTACAATTCACATTGTCCCAAGGTTTTGTCTTGTTAAGTTATGGCCCAGGCACTTTAAGCTTCCTAATAATTACCCCCCAATACACAAGACGCTACAGTGGGTGTCCGATGCTAATTCTATCAAGATGGCCCGGAGGAGCTTTCAAGATGATAAGTTGGCACACACGGCGACTAATCTACGCCGATAACCTGCAGCATACAAGATAAAAACCTCCCAACATTTCCCAATTTTGACCCGCTCAACACCAGAAATTACACACCGCGGAGTTTAATCAGTTTCATTCGTGGAGGTGAAACAAAGTGATAGGTTAAGTCACGTTGCGGAAACACATGCACACACATTATAAACCGAATCAACCATCAGCGGCAGGTGAACAGCAATTCGCCTCCCTGTAGTAAAACGCCTCCGATTGCAGCAACCGGTTGTCACGCAGGGAGGGCACTTCCAACTCACATGGCAGAGCGAATCTACTAAACTCGACAAATTGCGATACCAACAAAGGTGGAAACCACGAACCTGGGATAACTTGTCAGAAGATGCTGCCGATGCTGTCGATGGTATCGACGGGTTGGCGACTAGAATAAGCCAGCGACGTTGCCCTCCAAGTGGCGGCCGAAGGCAGAAGAACCCATGGTGGTGGGGTTTTTTTTTTGGTTTTGGCAAAGTTGACTTGCGAGAATCTTATTGTCTCTTATTTGGTTGCCGCGGTTAATGCAACGCCGTGTGCTCGATCGCGGCTGGTACGTCCGTGTGCCCCGAGTGTCGCCCTACTCGCCGTAGCCCACCGCTGCTGTGGTTTGGAACCGTAAAAGAGAATCGTTTACGATTGTTAAGGATTATTTTTTTGTTGGCGGGGAGGGGGTGGGTTATAAGACGGCTCCCCACGCACGACCGCCCACCTCGTCCGACTCCCCTCGCGGCACTGAGCGAGCCCAACATGGGAGTGGGGGGGGCCTGAGGCGCAGAGTGGGCGGAGTTAACTAAATATGGGCGGAGTCAACTAACAAAGTGGGCGGGGTAGGCTCCGTCGGTATGGGCGGGGCTTATATGGTAATGGTGCAGCCTAGATTTGCATAAATATGGGCGGTGCCGCTGCGAGAAAGTGGGGCGGGGTCTGGACGAGAATGAGTTCCGGCCGTGTTTAACGTGACCCTCGTAGTCAAAATACGGGGGCGCCTATCCGTGCTGGGAAATCTAAAAGTTCCTTCGAGCGGAGGGGCTTATCTAGTATATTGTTTGTAAACGGACGCACCGACCCCTCCCCATCCACCAATTTCATTTAACAGTGTCCTTTCTTTAACCAGCTGGGAATCGCAACGAAACTCAAGTGAGCGTGACGTGTTGGTGTTACTCAACAATACGGCGTGCAACGATTTTTTTACGTTCTCAAAAGTGGGACTATTTTTTTTGTTCTGCATTCCGCAGTTCGAACAAAAACGCGGGCCGCGGAAGGATTCGCACAACTGCACTCTGCGTGCTTCGTCTGCTTTAGGGTCAACTTGTTGAATGCACTGTGGCACGGTATTGTGATGTGCGTTTGTAAATCATATCACGATGAAAGAAATGCCAACTTTTTTAGTTTTTAGTTATATAACATTAACATACGTACGCACTGCTATATGGTACTTGAAAAGCAGGACTTTATCTTCCTATGCACGTTGAGTATTTTAATTATAATGGCATATGTAATTAACAGCATTGGGTTATGTAATCACACAGTAATTAGATTCGTTACCAAGATGCCAATTGCCAATCCCCGTCTAATTATTCGAGAAGCTACGACGCAACCTTAACGACATTCCTCTGAGGAAAGTGGGAATATACATACAGTACAGTATTTTGTTTTGAAAGTGGAAACGGTAACCAGGCCAATTTTGGGGAAACATCACTGCGGGTATAGCGACACCATCCTCGAATCTCACCCAGATCCACGTGGACGCTGTTGTGTGAACATCGTGGAACAACGCCGACTTCCACAAAAAAAAACACCGCGTTCGAGACCCAAACATCGCACCTCATCGCTCTAACATTCCTCCCCAAAGACACTGGTGTCACCGTAAACCACATCATAACATCATCAGGCCAAATGGGCACATCTTCACAAACGGTACATTAAAGACAAGGCACAGTAACAGCAGTGCGATTGTGGTAATGCAAACCCAAAACATGGGCCACAAAGTAAACAAACCGTGGTCCGCGCTCATTTAACGAAGGAATAACAATATTACGTACACGAACTCTCTCCTGAATCCCTCTTGTGGCGAGCAGGTCTCGACTACATTTAGCTCCTGAACACACACACATATATAACAGGTTGATGGACCTATTGACAGTTTACTTGCGTGAATCAACTACTGGAAGAGGGCTTTCCGATGCCAAGCGGGGTCGTGGGAGTTCCGTGACCATACTTCATCTAGCTTGTCCAGTGCTGGTGGGGCAGCGTAGATGTGGCAATAATAAAAGTGCTTTACAACAATTGAATGCATCTATGTTGAACTTCTTTCGCACCGTACGTAGCCAACCATGCCAATCGGAGGTGCATTGAGGTTTCGAGGGGGGTGGTGGGAATCGATGTAATTTCTGAAACGACAAAATATATATCCTGAATAGTTCTATATTAATTTTGTATCAAGGTCATTTTAAGATGTCCGTGGCTTTCATTCTTGGCATTACTAAACACAGGACCGATAATGCAAAAATGATACCTGTTTTAGACGATGAATCTCAGTCTAGTAACTCTAGTTCCTTATTGACCAGTCATTACGGTGGTGGTGGTGACAGTATACAGTTCTACAGTTAATAGCCTGTGGTTATGGTTGGCTTATGCCCCCTAGCGTTTGTCTTTAACATTCCAGCAGCTCATTTTGATTGTTTTCATGGACTTGACAACTGAGAAGACATCAAAATTTTATCCAGGGTCTATCCACCGGTGGATGAAGACCTCCCCACGTTATTGTTCTCTCTCGCAGTGCTGCGATACCACAAATTCATCTCATTATTGCACATGAGCCGATATAACTGATCCATCAACACGCTGGGTTGACCTCTCGGACGTGGTGTCTCCTCTTCCTTTGGTTGCCATTCCATCACTCGTATTGTCCATCATCCCTTCTAACAATTTTTGTGTCCCGCCAGTGCATCTAATAATAGTACACTCTATTTAACCAGCACAGACCCTTGAGATTTCGCATCTCATTTCCAAATTGAGTCCTGGCAAGATATCCAGAGGCACGTTAATTCTTAGTAACATTTAAACAATAGAAAATCAATAAATATAGCATAATTTAGTAGCATATCTTTGAAACTACTTATGTTAGAGATATATCTCGCATTTGTGCAAATACTGACTATGCATATCCTTTAAATCGAGCCCATCGAGGGTTTATTTTTAAATGTTGGAAAATCTGGATGTATTAACGTGGCAAATGTTTAACATTTATTTGAGATTTAAACAGAATATACAATAATATTCCAAAGCTGACGACACCCTCTGTTTCTTAAGTCGATAGTTGTGACCACCTGAGTTCGATACCAGGCCATGAATTACAGCATAAGCGTCAATACAATCACGGCGATTTCTTTCAGAACCTGAACAGGGCATCACATACATAGGTTAATCCTAAAAATAGGGCTCATAAGATGGAGAGAACTAAAATAAATATCGGGTGTTTCAAAACGATGGACCCTGATTTGAAATCGCTATATATCTTTGAAATGTTTTAAAACACCCTGTATATGTCAAGTGTCTGATTGCCTATTGTTACAGGCAAGTCCTCTTACAAATAGTATGTATTCTGTATCCAGTTCGATTGCAGTACAGCACAATAGTATATAAGGACGTTACTTATACATCAGCCAAAGTAAATACACAGCTGTATGAATGCCTCCCCATCCCTCACGACCCTGCGATGTTACAAATCCCCCCAAGTGCACGCGTGCGAGCTAATTTCATCGCTTCATCTCCCACGGTGGCGAACCCCTCTCACCCGGGTAACGTTGAGACATTCCAACGTTGAGACGTTGGGATAACGTTGGAATGTGGCTGGGCTAACGTTGAATCAACGTTGGCCCAACGTTCAATTTGTTAACTGGGTCGGACGCGGGTTTTACTCCTTGGCTGCCACTCCGTCATTAATCTTGACCACTTAAGACGAGATTCTCACAACGGGTGACGTCACCTCTCTCACCCAGCAACGTTGGCCCGAAGTTTAGACGTTGGCCCGATGTTGAGACAACGTTGGCCCGACGTTGAGACAACGTTGGTCAGACGTTGAGACAACGTTGGCCCGACGTTGAGACAACGTTGGTCAGACGTTGAGACGTTGAGACGTTAACCCGACGTTGAGACAACGTTGGTCAGACGTTGAGACAACGTTGGTCAGACGTTGAGACAACGTTGGTCAGACGTTGAGACGTTAACCCGACGTTGAGACAACGTTGGTCAGACGTTAAGACAACGTTCACCTGACGTTGAGACAACGTTGGTCAGACGTTGAGACAACGTTGGCCCGACGTTGAGACGTTGGTCAGACGTTGAGACAACGTTGGTTAGACGTTGAGACGTTGGTCAGACGTTGAGACAACATTGGCCCGACGTTGAGACAACGTTGGTCCGACGTTGAGACAACGTTGGTCAGACGTTGAGACAACGTTAACCCGACGTTGAGACAACGTTGGTCAGACGTTGAGACAACGTTGGCCCGACGTTGAGACAACGTTGGTCAGACGTTGAGACAACGTTGGCCCGACGTTGAGACAACGTTGGTCAGACGTTGAGACAACGTTGGCCCGACGTTGAGACAACGTTGGTCAGACGTTGAGACAACATTGGCCCGACGTTGAGACAACGTTGGTCAGACGTTGAGACAACGTTGGTCAGACGTTGAGACAACGTTAACCCGACGTTGAAACAACGTTGGTCAGACGTTAAGACAACGTTCACCCGACGTTGAGACAACGTTGGTCAGACGTTGAGACAACGTTGGCCCGACGTTGAGACAACGTTGGTCAGACGTTGAGACAACGTTGGCCCGACGTTGAGACAACGTTGGTCAGACGTTGAGACAACGTTGGCCCGACGTTGAGACAACGTTGGCCCGACGTTGAGACAACGTTAACCCGACGTTGAGACAACGTTAACCCGACGTTGAGACGACGTTGTCCCGACGTGCTTCGTAAAACCGTGTCGGAAGCGCGCGGGCGAGACGAGGCGGTGACCGCGACCCGGAGATGACGCGCGGCGTGACCCGAGTGAAGGGCTCCATCTGCTGGCGACACCCACCAACAACAACATCACCACCAGCAACACCACCAGCAACACCACCATCACCAACAACATCATCACCGCCATCGCCAGCGAGCATGGCCTCGGATAGTTCGGAGGCCAAGCGGATACGGGACGAGGAGGAGGATGAGGAGGAAGAGGAGAAAGAGAACGAGGAGAACAAGAATAAGAAGGCAAAGGAGGACGTCGTAGAGGAGAAAAATGAGGGAAAAGATGTGAAGGACGATGGTGGTGAGAAGGAGGAGGAGGATGATGCCTGGGTCGGGCCCTTGCCATGCGAGGCTGTTGCCGTCAGTAAGAAGAAAGGTAAGCAGTCCTCAAACACAACGGAGACGGGTTTCGGGATTCATCTGGATCGACTCGGCGTGAATGATAATCGTGTTGTAGGTCGTTGTCTCTGTTGTAGTTGTTGTTTCATTCGTAATAGAAGCGCCCCAAGATGCGTTGCCTCGTGGTTTGTAGCCGTGTCAGTGCTCTGAGAAGCCGCTCGTGTTGTCTCTCGAGTCTCGGCTCGAGTTAATCTTTTTTTTAAATAACGGGGGATTCGTACGTGAAAGTACGATTCATTCAAAAGGAAAGTACAGCATTTAAAGACGGCGTAAAAACTTGATAACGCCGCTCGCGCAGGCGTTGCGAGATTTCCCGCCCAACTGAAGTGCGCCCTCTGTTCCACTAGATGGGGTTATAATATAATAGTGTAATAGTACACAGTGCAGTACTGTGCACCGTGTAGTTTTATTCATTAAACGTGTTCCTTCGGCATAGATTTAGATAGGAAACTCAAACTATTGCTTCAGGACCAGTGTCCGGATTAAGCTAGTGCGGGGCCTGTAGCATTTGTTATAAAGGGGCCCCTAAATAAACAAAATTAAAACACATTTGTAACTTCCATCGTAAAGTAATTGTATTTTTTTTCCATTTGCTATACAGACAGATAATACGACAAATCGCTAACCTTAAACAGCTGTTCGTAAAAGTTGAAGGCGGTATAGTACTATAGTAATAGAGCAAGTGCAGAATCACTGAACCGGAATTGATAGCTTGAAAGCATTGATAGATTTGAAGTTTTTCGTGACTGCAATGATCCATACTCTTTGGTTCTTTCGGTAAAGTCACGTAGGTAAAAATAAAAAAATGTAGCTACTACATATGTAGCTACTAGGATAATCGGGCACTTCATTAGACCTCCTTTGTCAGTACCAAAATGTAATAATAGGGGTTTTCCACTTTTTTCTGGCAACAAAACTGAAACGTTTTTACAAGGATTCACGTCTGCATTAACCACAATACCTGCAGTCAAAATGCAAACAACAAGGACAATGCATATATTATCATAGTATGTTTTTTTTGTTTGCATTTTGACTGCAGGTATTGTGGTTAATGCAGACAGGAATCCTTGTAAAAAGGTTTCAGTTTTGTTTGCCAGAAAAAAGGGGAAAAAACCCTATTATTATAATCGGGCACTGTTCAGGACCATATTAACCCCGCAACTATATCGTGTGGGCCTGCGTGTGGTCTGCCTTGCAAAAACACTCGCCAAGGTGTGCGTACAGTTTTATGTTTCACGGGTGTTGACTTCCTACAAAGTGGTTCCAATTCTAACTACCCCGCAACGATGTAATGGGCTGAGCATAACATCATCAATGCAGGGTTGAGCCTGGTTATCACGTGGATGGACGACTGCCTGGGAATCACCCGGCGTTTGTAGGCAGGGGTTACGAGAGGTACCAACCATGGATACTTGAATCGATCATTGTGGAGGTTTTGACTGTCACCACTTCAAAAATGCATCGTGGGCTATTTTCATCCCACGTAAAACCAAAATACTCACGAACGGAATTGGCCAAATATCCCCAGGCAGGACCCTCTTGAAAAAGTTATTTTGAGGCTGGGCATGTGTCACATTATTATTGCGTTGTCTCCATGTATGTCCGTGTGTTGTGTGTCTCTCTGTGTATATCGTGTGTTGTTGCCGGCCTTCACAGATGCTCGCATAGCAACATCTTGCCCCAAAAATCCTGTGTGTGTTTTTTTTTAAATCGTGTGTCAGTGCTGGAATTCGAGCGGGTGTTTCTCGACAACCTACCGTGTGCCGCCATGTACGAGCGCAGCTACATGCACCGCGACACCATCACGCACGTGGCCGTCAGCAAGTGAGCTCCCTTCCGAAACCTTGATCGTTCCCTGCCAGTTCCATTGTCGTCATACCTGTTGTCACAACCCCCTTATCAGTGAGTGTCCTTACCTGGTGAAAACATAAGAATAGTTGTTACCCGTTCTGGCCCTAAAACAGTTGTGTTAAGATGTTCAAACACCAAATAGAAACCTTTAGCAAGGAATCAAGTTCGCATTGACCACACAAAGCACTTGTAGTGAACATGCAAACAAACACGCTCTGATAATGTGGCATTGTCTTTGAAATTGATTGGCCTACACCAGAGGAAGCCTTCTTTATGGCCTAGTCTCACTACCAGTGTCAGACCAGAGAACACCAAAAGGCGAACAGTTCAAAGACAATGCATTTTGAGAGCATTTATAGCTTGGGATGAGCAGCTACAAAATGTGCATTTTTTGTGGCTACCTTATTACAGACCAATTCAGAACTTATTGGTCACCGCGTGCCCCTTATAAATCTCAACGTTCATCCTGCAAAGTCCCATCACAAGGGAGAAACACAAACAAATAGACGAAACATATTTGTTTTTTGCCCATATTGAAACGGCTGTACGCCGTATGGACCTGGAACACTCATTTTCCCTGTACAAGAATACGGGTAAACCAAATGGGTTAGATGGGTATGAATGCCTGTTGGCCACCTGCCCTCCGCTATCCAGCATAAATTGTCCCACCCATCACAACCGATTGCTTTTCCTTGCAACACTTCCTTGCTAAGTTCCATTTAGATTTTCCAAGTCGCTTAGCCTTCTGCATACACCTGTCTTCAATGGACGTATTACGGGTTGCATTTACAGTAAAACCTTGGATTGTGTTTTGCAAGACGAGCAAATTTTTTTTACTACATTTTAATTTGATAAATGAGCGAGGTCTTGCAATACGAGTAGTGTACGTATACGCTTTGTCTGCCGAGCGTCACGTGATCACAACTGATATACAAGTGCTTTGATATACGAGTGCTTTGGATTACAAACACGTTTCCGAAACGAATTATGCTCGCAATCCAAGGTTTTACTGTATATAGCTTTTTAAATGTGACCCCATCTCAAGACGCTGGTGTACAGAAACAAGCCTTTTAAACTGCTTCGTGAAAGTCTATCTCTTGACTTTTACATAAGCAACAGAGTCTTTACACTGGAGTACCTTTGTGATGTTGGAGCTTGTTGACATGTTTAAGTTTAATTAATTAATACAATCTTCAGTTTGGCTTGTACACCACTGCAATCGCTTAATATTTTTTTATTTTACAATGAAAACTGGATAAACAGCCCTGTCCTTCAGTCAGTTATTTGTAAAAATATATAATTAAAATAAATGTTTCATGGGACTATCATCTGGTTATATTAAGATCTCAATGCTATATAGGTTTGGCACCAGCTCATTGTAAAGTCATTAGAATGTGTGGAAATGTGTGTACTATGGAGTAAGAGAAGCGATGGCATAGTGGTCAGTGCACCGAGTTCGAGTCCTGGCCATGGCTAACATCAGCGGCAAGTGATATCTGAAAATCGTCTGGGCATCCCCAAGTCGATGTAGCCTTAATAGAGTATCTGGTGCGATGTGTAAACATCAACACCTTGGACACAAAGGTGGCTCTGCAGGTTCTGGTGACACCACCCCTTCGTGCACTGCTTTTCCATTCATAAGTGTTCGTTAAAGCACTTTACTCAACAGTTTATGTTGGCTATATGTGCGATCTTTGTACTAAGGAGTACGTGACTGCACGTGTGTGTAAATTAGGACGGATTTCCTCATCACAGCCAGCCAGGATGGACACGTGAAGTTCTGGAAAAAAAACGAAGGCGTCGGAATAGAGTTTGCTAAGCACTTCCGCAGTCACTTGGGTACGATCGCCAATACCACCACATCACCATTACTACAGCAATAACATAATGGCCTTTTTCATCAGAGTGCCAGAAGTCACCACCACATAATGACCATCACCTTCCACGCCTGCATAGGTTTCCTTATGCCTGTGTGTGTGCACGTGTGACATCCCCTAGGTGCGATCGAGGACATCTCTGTGAGCTCAGAGGGGGCACTGTTCTGCTCAGTGGGTGATGATCAGGCCATGAAGGTGTTTGACGTCGTAAACTTCGACATGATCAACATGCTGAAGCTTGGGTGAGTCTGCACTGCAGCAGAGCAGCAGTGCACTGTCACACATCGGTGAATTAGATACATTAATGAAAATCGATTATTTTTTAGGCCCGTGATACATTTCGAATTGTGCATGTAAGAAAATCAATTATTGTCAATTTATACTAATTGTGTGCTAATTATATGGCAGTGTTACCCTTAGGCAAGAAGCAGACAACCCATAGCTAAAAACTAAGTGTCAATAGAGTCGATGCGTTCAATCACAAAACAAAATCGTGACTCAAGTATTAGATAATTGTCACATGCCTGGGTCCATGTTTTATAACAGGGATGGCCAAAACATCACGAGCCCCATGCAGCTCCCAGGCAGTTAGTGTGGCTCCATACACATATAATTTTCTTCTTTCTCATATAACATTTTTTATAGAAAATAAATCTGCAGAAGTGGGAGCTACCTGGTTTAATCAAAGGCATCTGAAATCCAGAGTTGAACCCAGAATCTCAACGGTGCCAGCTTAAGTGCTCTGACCCCTGAATGACCCAACCACTTCGGTCTTTTTAAGGAGATTTCATGGACACTTAAAGAAATCAGCTTAATGTTCCAAATCTGAACCATGTAGAATTACAGTGGTGAGTAAGGGTGTAGAAATGAAATGGTTTGTGGGTCTAATTATGAATGTTATTTTTGTATATGTGAATGCAATGGTCAATTGTTTTTATGGCCAAGTTGTGTGCATGAGTCATCGCGTTGTGTGCAGCCAGTCAATCTACTAATGGACGTCATTAATTATGTCCAAATGGTATTTATTTTCTGGAACGTCTGGTAGAGGCTTTGTAAAGGCCACTATGTAAATGTTCCCTATTAATAATCCCAGCATACCGTAATAAATCATGGTTCTGAAGCTCTACAAAAGTTTATTTTATTACTATAGCATTTGCACATAATAGTTGTAAATGAGTACAGAGGTATTTATAATCAGGTGTTATAAAATGTTGGATTTCAAAAGAATGCAACTGTTTACACAAAAAACACATTTCAGAAATACTATGAACCCTGATGTGCAAATTTATCAAATCGTTTCATATTTTAATAGGAAACGATTTAAAATAATTGTAAAAAATAATTATCTCCATTTGGCCGGATGGCTCAGAGATCAGAACTCGTCGAATCTGAGCAACTGTCTAACTAGATTGGGTTATCAAAGCTCAGGCCAGTCAACAATGACTGCACCCAAAAAAAACATCACGTTTAATTTGGTTTTGCACTTAATTAGAATAAATTCCAGCTCTGAGGCTTAATATGTTTGGTTTTGACGGTCATGTGACAAACATCACTTGGTCGTAGGGCAAATTATGCAATCAGAATACATTTTTATAAAGATTTAGAAACACCTATTTGATTGTGTCCTTGCTGAAACATTGGGCAGCTTTCATATCCATCAGCCACCCTGAGTTCGTGGTGGATATTCCACCTTCCTATGGAGGCCAGTCTATCCATGGTTCAAACTGTCTGTTGGCATCCCTCAATGTGCACCTAATCTATCAACCTTAAATTAAACTAATTGGATTGCTTTATTCGACCCCAATCTTGATTTTAACACATGGCCTTGTCATTATAAGTACTCTGCCAAAGCACCACTAAGCCAGATAGATCTCCTCGTTTCAACGTTGATGTTGCTGGGGGGAAGGGGCACACTCCTGGCGTTTTTCCTTTCACTGTTTATTTACTTATTGTTTTCTTTATTACTTACCTTTCTTATGCTATTCGTTGCGCGCGGTTGGGCTTTATTTTGCGCGCGGTTGAAATTTACTTTGCTCAGTCTGTGTTAGCCGCTGAGGTCGTGACGGGTTTCTTTTTTCATTCCTGTTGCTCCGTGCCCCCTGTACCGTTCTCGTTCTGCTGTAATGTGCAATATTGGCACGTAAAATAAAGATTGATGGTTTCTTGAATGTAAGTAATGCATCGTTCTCACAGTAGCATCCTGACGACAACTGCCTGCCATTGGTCGGATTTGTTCACATGTTGCTTATTTGACCCTTCTCAATCGCTGCATGCTTAACGGATGTATTTGAAAACTACAAAGAATGCGTACAATATTATCCTGTTCTTCAGCGCCTACTCTCGCCACATGGTTGCCCCTTTGCCCTGTTGTCCGTCGCACTTCTTTCCGCAGCTACCAACCTGGCTGCTCCGAGTGGATCTACTCTCCGGGGGAGCCGGTGTGCGTGGTGGCGTGCAGTGAGAAGCTCACAGGGCGCGTGCACATCTACGACGGGCGGGGCTCCAGCACTCCCCTGAGGACCCTTGAGAAGCTGCATTCCTCGCCCGTGTGCCTGCTGTGCTTTAACCCCATCTACAAGGTTCGTCCGATGTCACGAGTCCGCCATGCGCCGTGGTGCACGAGTTCGTTTCTCTTTAAAAGGATGACCTTCGCCAGATAGTCATGCTTGCCGGCTGGGAGCCATCCTGATTGGTTTTGGCTTTCAGCCAATTTTATTCCGGTTGTCCTATCACGGTCTTTCAACTAAGATCTTGTAATTTGTCGCCCAATGTTGGCACTTACGTGAGTAAAATGTATTTTTATGTGTTTTGTATGCTACATTACCTTCTGACACTTGCAATAGGCCCCTGCAGTGATAGAAGTGATTGTGCTTGTTTCCACGTTGAAAATGTCTCCTTCTAGCACCCGATTAGTGAGGCCAAGATGTTTGCAGTGACGGATGCGTAAAGCTGGTGGGCCATTTAAAATTGGCAATCCTGATGCGGCTATGGGTCCTGTGAAATAAAGTCACAGGCAATAGTTTCCCCTGTACTGCTGCGGTAAAGCTTTGTCTTTTCCTTCGCGGCATTGTCATCCTCACGACGGGCTGACGTCTTTTCGAGTGCAGGTGGTTGTGTCGGCCGACAAGACGGGCATGATCGAGTACTGGACGGGGCCGCAGCTGGACTACGCCTTCCCACGCAACGTGGCGTGGCAGTACAAGACGGACACGGACCTCTACGAGTTTGCGCGTTGCCGCACGTGCCCAACGGCGCTGACTTTCTCTCCCGACGGCTCCCGCATCGCCACCATTGCGCTGGACCGCAAAGTGCGCATCTTCCAATTCCGTACGGGCAAACTCATCCGGGTCTTCGACGAGTCGCTCAAGGTGAGGCCGTTCACATGCCAAGAGGACCTTCGACTGTGTGTGTATGTATCGCGGTTGGGGGTTCATAATGACAACGTCGCAGATACAAAGCTGTGCCGGTGAAAGGCTGGGTTTGAACTCGAGCCGCCTTCTGTTCGTAATTAAATGTGGTTCATGTTAATTTTTTGTCTCTTTCCTCGGTTTTATGTCATTTGCGCTCTCGGTGTGTGTTCTCATGAGACAAAGAAACAATTGGTATCTCTCTCGCACAGCAGTGTGTTAGTGCATTTCCCATAGAATTTGATGTCGCCGAACTTTTTATGACCTTTATCTAGACATAGGGCAGACACTACTTTCCCCCCTGCCCCGCTTCTGAGAGTGATTTTTGCCACGTGATAGTCAAGCATGTATTTTCTGTTTTGTTTATTCAATAAAAAAACAAAAACGAAACACTTTTTCTGCACGAATGCAATGCTTGGGCCTGCTTTCCTCTCACCAACATGTTTATTTTGGGTGACAATTCCGAATTCTACATGTAACTAAGACGCTTGCAGGGTCCCAATAAGTAGAGTTTGTGCGCCGTTTCAATGTGGTAGGTCTTGTGTTTGTGGTTCAGTATGAAATTAAGTCCCTGGCTGTATCTAGCCCACAACTTGTAGGTTTTGCTCGCCCCACTATAGTCCACACGTCTCACTTGACAAATGAAAATACTTGGCGTGCCCCAAATTGTTGTCGCGATTGGCCGAACTTCACCTGCAATTGATTCCCCTTTCCCCACCCTCAACAGATGTTCACAGAGCTCCAGCAGATGAAGCAGCAGCTGCCAGACATGGAATTTGGGCGGCGCATGGCCAGCGAGCGTGAGCTGGACAAAGTGGAAGCCGCTCGATTTGCCAACATCGTGTTTGACGAGACGGGGCACTTTGTACTCTATGGTACCATGCTCGGAATCAAGGTCATCAACATTGAGACAAATCGGTCGGTAGGACTTAAAGGATGCAGTTGACGACGCACCCGTTTATTTTTAGTGCAGATTTTCCCAGTTTTGTTCTTTTTTTAAGGCACCACAGTGAAAAGTGTGATCTCTGTTAATCTCGCTGCTGTCTGCCTTCTCTGGAGAATGGTAATTTTCCATAACGTCAGCCGCTCATATGTTTTGTTTTATAGGGGCGGTGTTGGTGATGTATGTGGTGTGGGTTTCTTTGGTTATATTTTAAATGTCATTCTGCGTTACAGAGGGTGGCCGGGTAACTGTCTCGTTCGAGTGCCCCTGAGAAGCAGATTTATTGATATATATGGCATAGAATGATTGTTGAGATCCTTCAGAGTGACCAATTGTTTTCACACACAAGAGCGCAGCAAGTTCCTGAATGCTGTGCTACAGGGAAATGTTACTCACATGGTAGTTGCACCAATATTTTTACTTCTCAGAGATGGAATTGGCCACATTAGGTGATCAACCAAATTTTAAAATGATTTGTGTTATTTTGGGGGCAGTCTTTATAAACAGAATACACGCTACTACAGCCCTTTGTCAATCCAGTGCTAGATTAAGATCTTCCCACAACTCTTGTTACATTTGAGACCCCATTTAGCGGATAAGGATTGTCATTTACTTAACGCTTAATGCAACTTCTTAAATGCTTAATCATGGGCGGTTGTAATCCCAAATCACATCGCAGGAGCGTCGGGAGTGTCAGCTGAGTGCTCTTACCCCTGAGCCATGCAGCAGCGAAAGATAGCTATGTTAACGTACAGAAATAAAAAAACAACTCAATACATTCATCATGAACACTGCCTTATCACAGAAAAATTATTGGCTCATGTTTCAGATAACGTTATTCAGAGTAGAGGGTACAGAGGCAAGTGAAATGTAAACATTTGTGAATTATGCTCTTTGGTTCTTTCGGTAAAGTCACGTAGGTATAAAAAATAAAATAAATTTAATCACGACGTTTCGGGTGCAACACAGGCGTCCGTCATCAGGTGGGACAACCACAGCAAGAAACAATTGCTGAAGTGGGCAAAAGGGCTGCTGTGACAAGAGGCTTATAGGCAAGAGAGGGGGGAGGAGCCAGAGAGGAGAGATACAGGGGGGGGGGGGGGGGGGTGTGGGGTAGGGGATTAGGGAAACGTGCAAGGGAATGCTGGAGGTGGGGGGGAAGTGAGCGGGGCTGGGAGTGGGAGGATGAAGAAACTGGAGATGCGGTTATTAGGGGGGTGTGGGGTAGGGGAAGTGGAGCGCTGCAAAAGGGAATAATGGGCGAGTGCAGCAAAATGCCGAGCAAGGAAATGCTGGGGGGGTGGGGGGAAGTGAGCGGGGCTGGGACTGGGAGGCTGAAGAAACTGGAGATGCGGATATGAAGGCAAACCATGAAGCCGTTAAGGTTTTACCTGGTTAATAACATCCTTCCAATGATTGCTTAATTTGTATCCATCTTCTCGGTGAAGTTATGTCTATGTTTATATATCTGGATGGCTTCATGAACAAACCTTTGATAGTAGCCCGAAGGTTTGCCAGAGTACCTTGGTCTCGGAAAAAGACAATATCCTGAGAGCCCACAGCATTATAGAAATGGTCGGCCACGGCGGAGGTATTAGTCCTGCCGTGTTTCAGATCTGACTTGTGCTCGCGACCACGGTCTGAGACGTCGTTTTGTTTCCCCAATGTAACACCTACCACATGTCAACTTAGTTTGTAGACTCCAGGATATTGCATGTCAGGAATGACATTTTTCACAGATGGGATTAGATCACGGATTTTGTGTACTGTACTGAACCGGACCTGGATCTTGTGTTTGTGTAAGATTTTGGAAATCTTTTTGGTAACGCCTGCTATGTATGGTAACATGATGGTTTTGATTGGTATCTCAGGTGGTTGTTTCTCCCTGGTTGGAGACAAAGCTTTGCGAATAATACGGTCCGAGTCCCAATTCATCTTGAGGGCCTGGTGTACGTGTTCCAGTTCAATTGTTTCTTGCTGTGGTTGTCCCACCTGATGACGGAGGCTTGTGTTGCACCCGAAACGTCGTGATAACATTTTTTTTATTTTTTTCTACCTACGTGACTTTACTGAAAGAACCAAAGATTGGATCCCCGTAGTCACGAAAACTTCAAATCTAGATTTGTGAATATAGTTACCCTAGTTTATTGCCCCACGCAATGTCGGTCATGTTGGTTATTTGACCATAATTCACCATGCCGGTTATTACAAGTTTGTGAAGGAGGCAGGGGCCAGATCTGGTTCAAATATCACCCACCGCTGATCTTAGCCTTGGCCAGAAATTGAACTCTGATTGCTGGGGTCAGTAGTACTAATCATTGGGCCACCAAATTCCCGCTTGGAATTGATATTTGAACATTTTTACATGAATAAATATATACGTTTCAGTTATACTTTTCCATTCAATATTCCATAATGGGGAAAAAACGACTCCTCGTGCATTAATTTAAAAACGTTTAATTGTCTGCTTTATTCAAAGTCCACAGTATCTTTTTGAGGGACAAAGGAAGGTGGATGTGTTCTTTGTGAAATGATGATTTCATCATGCACAAAATGAAGAGTCATTCCGGGAGGGGATTAAATCCTTGGAACATTGCTGACGGACCTCGTGCATCGGAACGTCAAGGGAATTACGTAGAAAAATAACAGTTTCATCGCGGTCATTCATTGCATTAAGGTCAGCCAATGGACTTTAAATGATGATCATCGTAGTCCCTTGTGATTTATCCCCCCCTCTGTGATGGTCTCCCCATCCCGTCGCCATCCCTGAGTGCTGCAATCCGTCAGATCCTTGCACAATAATTCAAGGAATGCATTTATTTTGTTAAACCAGGTGGGAACTCAAGGGACCAGGATAGAGTCTCATGTGCTGAAGTGACCTTGGTCATCAACATTAATAATTCAATAACATAAAAAAATGAAGCAAATAGGCATCTTTGCCAAAAAAGAACGCAATCTCATAGCAGCACCACCTCTGATGGTCAAAGCCAGAACGATTCCTTTTCACACCCAGTGATTCTAACAGGCTGATTCTTCCATTGCAAGTGATGCCATGGCGGGCAGATCCACAGCGACTGGGACTGGGGGCCATAGTTTAGATGTGCCAGTCTTTCATGGTGGCACTATACCGTGCTGGTCGGTGCGCATAGGCATGCAACGATTCATCGTTTAAAGTCCTTCCCAAACGCTCGCAGTATGTGCATCAAATCATGCCGGCAAGAATCAATCGTTTTAATTTCGAATGTGATACGTCTAAATCGGTTCACGTGACCCCTGCGGCTAAATAGAAGGCACTAAGCTAACCACAGCGTTATCAAAAGAATCAATTTCAGACCCGGCATCGATGGGAGGTGAGGGGTGAAAATCGGGTGGGCAGTTAGGAGGTATCCCGCTCAATTTCCAGAATCGATGGGTGACCCCCTAAATTGTGACCATTGATGGGATTCTGCCCGAAAAACGTCGGTTGTGTTTCTTTATAACCCCCTCGTTGCGAGCACGATTATTTCATTTTTTTTGTACGTGACGCAAATTTTAAAATGGGTGCGATGGCCGGGGGGCAGGTGCGTGCGGATCCTGGGCAAGCAGGAGAACTCGCGGCCGCTGCACGTGGCGCTGTTCCAGGGCGTGGCGCGCACCAAGCACGCCGCCCTGACGGTGGAGATGAGGGCCTCCGACAACCCCGTGCTGATGAGCGTGCAGAGCGACCCAACGGTCTTCGCGTCTGCCTTCAAGAAGAACCGCTTCTACATGGTAGCCGCCGCGCACGTGCGCGTGCACACGCACGTGCACACGCACGCACCGGTCATGCGGCATGTGCACCTCACATTAGCATGGTTGGCTACGTACGGTACGTACAGCCACATGCTCCTGAATAAAGATTAACGCGGCTGCACACCCGCGTATAGCTATACAACAACAAAAATACCCCGTCGTATAGCCTTAACAGACCGTTGGAGAAAGTGCTGTTAGCGAGTACCTATGAACACCACTGACTCGTGCCGACAACATCACCATCATGCGCGTGCGTCCACGCTTGGGCACGCATGTGCGTGCGCGTCCCTTCCTTCCCTGCGCCCCACAGTTCACGCGGCGTGAGCCCGAGGACGCCAAGAGCCCCGAGTCGGACCGCGACGTCCTCAACGAGAAGCCGAGCAAGGAGGAGGTGATGGCGGCAACGCAGTCGGAGGGGGCCAAGCGCGTGTCGGACTGCGCCATCATGCACACCACCTACGGCGACGTCACGCTGCGCCTCTACCCCTCCGAGTGAGCGAGCGTCACGGTGGTAGCGTCGCGCTTGAGGGGCTCCTGAACCAGAGGAGCGACGGAAAGCACAGTGTGCGATGCCTGGCAATAGCGGGAAGGGGGCGGGGGGGTTTGAGCGAGCTTGTTAGGTGGCAGCGCATGCCTCTTGATACTACAGTGTGCGTGTCAACCGTCAACCGGACTCTATCTCTAAGCATAACCATATGAGCAAACTAGACGCTTGCCCTACCCTTAATCCTAACCACACTTGCCAACCAGACCTTAACACTGTCCCTAATCGTGTAAGGCAACCAGGCAGATAGCCCTGTCCCTTACTCCTACCACATTAGCAAGCTCGACCTGAGTCCTAACATTTTAACCACACGAGCCAATTCGATTGTATCCCTTTCCATAACTACACTAAACAACCAGACACTTAACCCTGCCCCGAATACTACCAAACTATCCAGACAGCCCCCTTTTACTTTCCATAGCCATACCCGTGCTAGCCAACCACGTCCTAGCACTGGCCCTACCCGTGACCCTAATCCTAGCCTCGCCTCTTGACGCTTTTGCCTGGTCCCCTATCTGAGTAACGGAATGAACTTCATTCCATAAAAGACGATAACGCTGAATAATGCATCTGTGTAGGTCGGTCAGGAACCTACTTGTTGTACTTTGATCTTCTAACAGCCACGTAACCCCAATTTCGGAGATATTATGCAATCGATAAAATGTGCACAATCCCAACAAAGCATGCCGTATTGCAGTGGTCGTTGCCAAGATCTCCGTGGCGCTGATGCGTAACACATAATATAACAGGAAGCCCCGCACGGCTTTGTTAGCTCGTGCTGCAGTGCCTGAGCAATTGAAGGAGAGGATGGGTCCCGCCAGTGTGCCGACTCTTCGCTGTAACACCAGAAGGCCCTTGAGATGTAGATCTGCCTTCCTGCGTGCGCGCGTTGCCGCGTCTTCCAGGTGCCCCAAGGCTGTGGAGAATTTCTGCGTGCACAGCAAGAGCGGCTACTACAACGGGCACATTTTCCATCGCGTTATCAAGGTGGGTGTTGTCCCACCGCCACCACTGTATGTGCGTGTGCCTGTGTGCGATTTGAGCGAGAACGTGAGTGTGTTTGTATTTGTTGGTGCACCGTCATCCAGCAGTGGATTGATCACGGACAATGATGACGTGGTTGTATGTAATGGATTTATGTGACCCCTCCTATCACTAGTAGCACGCAACCTCGAATGATTATTATTCTGCTGCCCCACTGCCTGCAACTCCCTTCCTCTCTTCAAGTTTACTTTGTTTCTGTTCCCATTACTAACTGCCTCACTCTGCAAAATAAACATGCGCACTGTTTCTGTCCGGCGTAGAGAGATGGGTTGCTATATAAATCCACATTGTGTTCTGTTTACTGTGGAATATTGGAGGGCAAATTAACAATGACTTTTTTATGCATGTAGTGGTGCGTCGCATTCTATTCTGGCGCACGGCAATATGTTTCGGAGCTCGGTGCCAATGTCGAGGTCTGTTGTCCACGACGAGAGGGCTTGACGAGAGGGCTTTAGGAGAGAGAGTTTGTGTCGTTGTGCTGTTCCTCCTCTGTTGAAGGAGCGCAGACCACGGTGGGTTTGCTATACGGTCCGTAGTTTGGGTTGCACAGTCAAATTGCTGTGGCTCGTGTCTTGAATTTTCAATTCATGAAGGAATCGTGACATTTAAAGTTCCCAATGCAAATGTTTCATCCCTTCCCTGCTGTCGATCACCCCCCCCACCACTTTAACAATCTGTCCTCGCTCTCTCTTTGGACAAATTGGAACTGGCCCCCACCCCTCCTCTCCCCCTCCCCTTGGCTCTACCATCTGAAGGTTCGAGTGACAACAATTCTGCTCGCCTAATTATTCCTCCGTGGGCGCTCAAGCTGAACATGATGTTTAATTTTTAATTTTCTCTTGTTTTTTTTTGGGAATGTCTGTTTTTGTTTTGTTTTTTTTATTTCATAATTATATTTAGGCATCATTATTTCATGTTTTTTTATATATTATTAAAGCGATATTTCTTGAGGCATTTTAATGACAAAGGACGATTTTTTAGAAAATAATGTGTTGTCCATTCAATTGACGCCTGTCAAGTGAATGGATAGCACAATTATACTTTGTCACACTAAGCTATGAATCTCATTTGCGTGTTCGGGTGGGGACCGGTGGTGCAGTGATTTGCGCATTGTGCTATGAACCCCGCTACCTCCGATGAGCACGGTTGGCTACGTACGGTGTTTTTCAGTTTCAGTTTATTTTTTTCATTTTATTTTATTTTGGCATAGCCCTGTGAGCCATTCGGCTCTTGAATCGGGTGCAACCACCACAAACAAAAAAGACAAAAACACGAACATGAAAACATCTTAAAGTGACTATGTGTGACTGTGCAAACAGAAAATCCATGAAAAAAACCAGCTAAATATTCCTGAAAAAAACACCATACACGAACGCTGTGTGCAAAAAATCCCAGTGGGATGCAAGTCAAACAACAACAACAACAACCACAAGAAAACTTAGATTAAGGCCATCAGTCTAACTCCGTACTACAACAAAACAAACATGTCCAAACCAAAAAACGTTTTCGAAATCACCAAAAAATAAAGCCATAATTGCAACGTAACAGTGATCACAGTCAAAATGCAAACAAAAGAGACAACTCTGATAATAATATGCACTGTCCTTGAATTTGATTGGTCCACACCCGAGACGGCTTTTCTTAGAGCCTAGTCTCCACTGGTGTTGGACCAGAAGACGCCAAAAGGCGTACAACTCAAAAACAGCGCACTTATCAGAGTATTGAGGGCTCGGGGTGAGCATTTATATTAAAACCTATTACTCTATCTTGTTACTGGCAAAGGAGGTCTCATAATATAAATGCTCACCCAGAGCCCTCAATACTCTGATAGTGCGCTGTTTTTGAGTTGTACGCCTTTTGGTGTCTTCTGGTCCAACACCAGTGGAGACTAGGCTCTAAGAAAAGCCGTCTCGGGTGTGGACCAATCAAATTCAAGGAGAGTGCATATTATTATCAGAGTTGTCTCTTTTGTTTGCATTTTGACTGCTTGTGTTGTGGTTATTGCAAACACGATGCCTTGAATAAAGGTGTCAGATTTTGTGCCAGTTAAAAGGGTAAAACCTATTACTATAGACTTTTGGCTGTTGTAGGCTCAGCTGAACCGCTTGCACCACCTCCTTTCCCCGCCGCAGGATGGTGCTCGAGCTAGCCCTCCTTGAGCTCAGCCCACGACTGGAATGTCGTTTCTTGGCCTCTCGTGTCTCTGCTGCCCGACCAGACAGCCCCACTGAAGCCCACACAGGGGACTCTTCATTCACGACCCTTGGCCGTCTTGACGATCTCCGTGAAGTTTTCCAGGAATATAGCTTGGGGTCCGTCGCAATGTTGCCTTGACAGGAACACAGCTTGGGGTCCGTGGCAATGCTGTCCTGGCAGGAACACAGCATGGGGTCCGTGGCAATGTTGCCTTGGCAGGAACACAGCTTGGGGTCCGTGGCAATGTTGCCTTGGCAGGAACACAGCTTGGAGTCCGTGGCAATGTTGCCTTGGCAGGAACACAGCTTGGGGTCCGTGGCAATGTTGCCTTGGCAGGAACACAGCTTGGAGTCCGTGGCAATGTTGCCTTGGCAGGAACACAGGTTAGGGTCCACGGCAATGTTGCCTTAGCAGGAACACAGCTTGAAGTCCGTGGAAATGTTGCCTTGGCAGGAACACAACTTGGGGTCCGTGGCAATGTTGCCTTGGCAGGAACACAGCTTGTCGTCCGTCGCACTATTAACTAGGCCTCAGGCTGCACCACGTGTATGATTAACTAGGTCTCAGGCTGCGCCAGGTGCACGATCAGCTAGGCCTCACTCAGGCTGCGCCACATGCACGATTAACTAGGCCTCACTCAGGCTGCGCCAGGTGCACGATCGGCCAGGCCTCACTCAGGCTGCGCCAGGTGCACGATTTACTCGGCCTCACTCAAGCTGTGTCATGTGCAGTACTACCTAGGCCTCACTCAGGCTGCGCCAGGTGCACGATCAGCTAGGCCTAACTCAGGCTGTGCCAGGTGCACGATTTACTCGGCCTCACTCAGGCTGTGTCATGTGCAGTATTTCCTAGGCCTCACTCAGGCTGCGCCAGGTGCACGATCAGCTAGGCCTCACTCAGGCTGTGCCACGTGCACTATTAACTAGGCCTCACTCACACTGCTCCAGGTGCACTATTAGCTAGGCCCCACCCAGGCCGCACCAGGTGCACGATCAACCAGGCCTCACTCAGGCTGCGCCAGGTACACACACGAGAGCACATCACCACACCATCTCACACACACACACGAGTGTACACCATCGCACCATCTCACACACACACACACGAGTGCACATCACCACACTATCACACACACAGCGCACATCACCACTCCATCTCACACACACACACACACGAACACAGAAGTCCCTCTCGTCACGGCCACTCACACGGCTCACTCACACACACGGATCACTCACACACACTCACACGCAGCTCACACAGCTCATTCTCACTCACATTTTCACACACTCACGCTCAGTTTACACTCGCGCAAAACAACTCACAAAAACAACTCGCACGCTGCTACACACGCCACCGTGGCTGTGGATGAGAAAGAAGTTCAACATACATAAATCTGTGACAAGCGATATCAGAAATCATTCTTGGGGTAACCTCAGTCGACTCACCATTGAGTGAGTACCACGTGCGGTCTGTAAACATCAGCATTTGGGAGACAAAGACGAATGAGGGAGTGGTCCTGGCCACATTAACCTCTCGTACAGTACTGCCCTTCATAGGTTCTCACGAACAGGATAATCTTTATATTGGACTGTAGTCCTGCATACTGTTTATGTGTACTGTGTGTGTGTTCTGTGTGTATTTGTGCTGTGTGTGTCCACTGGGTGTATACGCATATTCATCTGTGCACGTGTGTATGTGCGTATCTCTGCGTGTGCGTGTCCTTGCGTGTACATGCTCATGCTTGCGCGCGTGTGTGTTTGCCGCACTGTGCACGGGTGACCCACGTACATCTGTGTGCATGCGTGCGCGCGCGCGTTTTGCGGTGCTGGTTGGACCTTTTTCAGGGCTTCATGGTGCAGACGGGCGACCCGACGGGCACCGGCATGGGCGGAGAGAGCATCTGGGGCACCGAGTTTGAGGACGAGTTCCACCACACCCTGCGGCATGACCGCCCCTACACCCTGAGCCTGGCCAACGCCGGGCCGGCCACCAACGGCTCGCAGTTCTTCATCACCGTCGTGCCCACGGTTCGAACCGAATCTTGCCCTCGATTTGTACCGTCGGGTGTCGTGCCCTGAGATGGAGTATTCATTCGCATCTCTCGCAGAGAAGTGCAAAATTCGCTGTGTTAGAGAATGGTAAACGGAAGCGGATATTCGCAGAGCTACAGTACTTTTGAGATCCTTTTTTAAAGTGACCCCTTATCCACAAAATAGGCTGCAGCAGTTTCCCACACGCCCAGTCAAAGAGAGCAACGCTCGTCACATGGCAGTTAAACCAATATATTTGATTAATCAAAGATGGAATTTAGTGACTATTAAATTGCAATTATTGAGGCTGCGATTCGATTAAAGAATTGATCGTTTTGCTTTCGTGGACTTAATTTTTTATTTTTTTATTTTTTCTGTCATTTTCTGTTTGGACATTATTCTAAATGTAACAGTCCCAAAGTATTTGCATATAATTTACATAGATTATAAATCATTTATTCTCGTACGCACGATTGGACACATTTGTCATGAGCGGTATAATCAATTTTAATCAATGTAGCATTACACGTCTAATGTGTGTGCATCTGCAAGACAAGACTCATTTGTTTTTTAACCTTGCGCCTTTGACCTCATTTGTCTGTGTGTGTGTGTGCGCGCGCGTGTTGTGTCTGCGCATCATTACGCATCCCCCCTCGTTACAGCCGTGGTTGGACAACAAGCACACGGTGTTTGGGAGGGTCACCAAGGGCATGGAGGTCGTGCAGAAGATCTCCAACGTCAAGACCAACCCCAAGACGGACAAGCCGTACGAGGACGTCACCATCATCAGCATCTCCATCCGATAGCGCAGCGAGGGGTACGAGAGAAGGGGGGGGGGGGGAACCCTTCTCTCTTTCTCTGCACTTGGCCGTCCACCTGGGATTGTAAAATATCGCCTCTCCTCATCGCAGAATGGACCAGACTGTGGTTTCTATTTTCTCTGTCTCGTTTGTTCGGCAGTGGTTTCACGTGGGATGCGTGAGAAAGCACCTCAAAATACCGATCTTAGATTAAGGTCAAGAGGTCGTCGGGGAAGATGATGTTTGTCACTTGCACCTTCTTACCGCTTGATCCCACAGTTTTTTTGGAACATCGATATCGGACATCCCCCTCCCCCTTACGGACTCGTCGACAGCATCCAGCTTCGTGTGTTCGCCTTGCCCTGCAGTTGGTTCTTAACAGTCGTCGTCACTAAATTTTGATTTAAAGTTTCCCTTCTACGTGACTTTACCGAAAGAACCAATAATATAGTCGTCGTCACTGTCGGTTGTACGATTCTACCGTGGTCACGGACCCCTTCCCCCTCCCCCCAGGTGTCATTCCTCTGTCCCGCACATGTGTCCCACCCATCGCAGCCTCCACTTCCCCATTGTGTCTTCAGTGCTCTCCTGCCAAGTTCCATTCTGAGCTTGCAAGGTACTCCACCAAATTGCGAAATTGATCATGGGCATAAAGCACTGACTTTATAACGTCGCTGTCCAGTGCGTGAAGAAGCCAGACCTGAACCTCCATCAAAGCCAACGGTCCTGATTTAAGCTTTGATGCTCGTAAGAACGCAGTGTTTGTACGGCCATGTGGGTGCATCAGCAGTTTGCCACAAGCAGCGGGGGAGATCTTTGGAAGCTAGCAGATTGCAGCTGGCTGTGCTGGAGTCCTCGGGGCCAGTGAAAGTTGGATACGATGGGAATTTTACAGTGACCTTGTAGGTTCACCCGTCTAAATCTCACCTTGCGCGCACACACCTGCCTGATGCGCTTAATTCGACTAATGCAGTTTGCACGGCAACTATTAATCACTCGGCAAAAACTAAAGTGTTTGCGCACGCAAGTATGCCGTGCTCAGGAACACCCTTTTTGGCAAAACAGGATATAGGAAGTTGCAAAGTTCACTGCTGTGGGCCATTAGATATCCGCGGACCAAGTAACGCCGCGCTCGTTTTTCTACAAACAACAAAAACTCCATGCGTTCGTCAATAGCACCGCCCGAAAGAGGAAATGATAATAATAGGTGACGTTATGGGCAATGAAAAAGCAGGGCATTTGCATTGGACGTTAGCTATATATTATTTTTTTACGAATGTGAGTTTTTGTCATTTGTGCAATCACTGCCAACAGCCTCGCAGTTTTTTTGTTTGGTCACCTTCATTTGTGTTGAACATGGTAGTGAAAAATGAAAGTGCACAAACAGTTGAGTCCTGTCCTGTTTGAATGAAGTCTGATTCCAGAAAACAAACAGCTCTTGCCTTGGAGCTACAAACCTAAGCAGTTTGTTTCCCACACTGTCCAACACAAGTTTTAAGCTTTGTTAATGAGAAGATAATGTTTTAAAATCACTTCCCGGTGGTTGTCGGGTGGCTCAGGTGAGAGAACGGAGGTCCATGGTTCGAATCTGGATTTCAGCCTCCTGTGATCAAACTTGGGTGTTTTAAGTGGTCGCCAACACCTGCACGCAAAAAATGTATCATGTTAAATGTTGTTTTCCACTTAATTTGGCTTATTCCCACTGCGAATTAATTGATTGTAACCGTCGTGCCATAAACGTTAAGTTTTATTGCCGTGTAACGAACACTCGGAGGCCTCGAGGGACTGGACAATTCTGTGACTTCATCTTTCGGGGGCCTTGCTGTTGACACGCTGACGCGCTGCTGCTCGCTGCGGAGTTGCAAATGGAACTTTTATCTCGTGACGCCAGTAACACAGTTTGTTGAATGTAGTTGGAAAAATGCATCGCTACGGTATGGCAAAAAATGTATCAGTCTGGTGCGGTGCAATAGTTTAACATCGCCCCATTGATGTGTTACAATGTAAGTGAGCGCTATGAAAGTGATGGTAACAAAGTTCCATTGTCACACACGACTAAAACGTCAAGAGTCCTTAGCACGGCATCAAACTGAAGTCGGCCCGTGGCAGACGCCTTGGGTACGCATCTACAAAGACGTTTGAATTTCGAGTTGCGTTTCCCTAGCGCATATCGTCAACGCTCCGTCGTGCCAAAGTGTGAAGAGAATGGCGTCTGTGGCGAGGAGGTACTTCCGAGGATGTCCGATGTCCTTATGATAAAATTGCGTGCGTAGAACACGCCGCGTGCGAGCGTATTGAAAGAGTGCCCTATCGCGTGATTGTTTTTAACAGAAATAGCTTTCTTTTTACGTATAAATACATTTTTTTTTCCACAAACGAATGCGTCAATTGTGATTTATTTCGAGAGGCCAGATTTTGTTTTTAATTGCGTGCGCTTTGTTCCCGACGAGCCGCGTTTGCCACCAGAAAAGAAATAGCTAAAATCTGCAAAACGCCTGTTTAATGTTGTCCACTCATGATGATCATCTATCACGACAGATGCGAGGCAGATGTTGACCCCCTGACCTACACCCCCCCCCTCCCTGCCCCAAACTCCCACTGCATTCACAGTGGATCACAGGCACAATGTTTAGCCTTGCATATGCAGGAGGTGAATCGATTGTGTTATAATATTAACAGACTTGTGGAGTACGTCAATGCGTTTTCAGCTTGCAACGCGTGTATTTTTTACACGATGTCCGACGTTTCGCCCCACGTCTTGGGAGCTTATTCAGGCACCGAAGAAGGAATTTGGTTCCTGATTGAGGAAGCAGCCAGCGAAATGTCATACATCGTGCCGAACAGCACACGGTGCAAACCCAAAAACACAATCGCAACAAACCTACCCAGTAGATTGACAGATAATTGTTTAATGGAACCAAGGTTGAAAGGTCATTCGTAATCGTTAATGTCTCCAGCTTGTGTTTGTTCTTTGATCCATGTTCCTCTTTCTGTCTCCCAGTCGAATTCCAAGCATGGCCTTCCTTGCTTATTTGCGGACTTTTTAGCTGCTGCCGTACACAATCGAATTGAGACAAATCGCCTAAATCACTCGAGCAGGTGATGATTTGTTTCAGGCCTACTCGCATATTTCTCCCAAAAGGCAGTGGCGATTGGAAGGCCATAAACATGGCAAGCCTTGTCTTGAGTTTGTTGGGTATTGGATTGCGAGGCCGCTGTTGTGGGCAGCGGAAAACAGTGCAGAAAAATCCATCGTCCTGTACATCTATGCCTCTTCGTCTGTGCCCCCCCCCCGCCTTCAACCCACATTGACCGGCATAGTGAATGAAGTATGATGGTCAAATAATCCCGAAGACACGCAGGCCATGTGGAGGCTATCGTTCGGTGATGGATTTGGACTACATGTACATTATCAAATGAAGACAGGAAATTTAAGGGATTGGGATATAGGAGGAATTCATCCGATTGGCTTTTAAAAACAAAGGCTCAATGGCCATGGCTCTGAGCCCTTTCGTCTGTACATGGTTTGGGAGTGAAGCAATGGACGGTTTAAATCACGCACAGCCAACATGAAGAGTACGAGGCGACTCAACATAAGAGGTCCATTAAAAAGGCAAACAGACATTTCTTTCTCTCTTCCCCTACCGATTGATAATAGTTACGCGTCTTATTAAGGCCATCACTGCGTGATCAGTGTTTACAAATTGCCACGTGTTCCAACGGCGTGGCTCAATACGTTGAGTAATGGCCGGTGAATACATTGCAGTGAATTAATTGTGCGCCGCCGAACGGAGTGTGGTGTATAATTTTGAGAGCGGGGGAAAAACATGTTTGAACCGATCGTTTGAGCATTACATTTGCGTTACAAAAATGTATTGTGGCGGTTGGGATTTTTTTCGACCTGATATCCAAACAAGAAGATAATCATTTAAACCTATGAAGCCACGCGTGCGAGGCGGAAAAAAATACATCCAATACCGATAGTCCACATTTGCTGTACAGCCTTCTGGAAATCCAGGGTATGGCACCCACGGGAAGGGAGTTTCACAACATTTGTGTGATCCACCGACACTCGGTGCCTCCACCGTGCTGGATTACAGGCCACGTGCAAAAAAAAAATTCGGTCAAAGTTTTTGTGATCACTGTTACGTTGCAATTATGGCTTTATTTTTTGGTGATTTGGAAAACGTTTTTTTGGTTTGGACATGTTTGTTTTGTTGTAGTACGGAGTTAGACTGATGGCCTTAATCTAAGTTTTCTTGTGGTTGTTGTTGTTGTTTGACTTGCATCCCACTGGGATTTTTTGCACACAGCGTTGGTGTACGGTGCTTTTTTTCAGGAATATTTTGCTGTTTTTTTCTTGGATTTTCTGTTTGCACAGTCACATAGTCACTTTAAGATGTTTTTCTTGTTCGTGTTTTTGTTTGTTGTGGTTGCACCCGATTCAACAGCTGAATGGCTCACAGGCTATACCAAAAATAAATAAACTGAAATAAAAATAAAACTGAAACTGAAAAACGTGCAGAGCCACTACCGCCCGGCGAGATGGTTCTCCAACCGCAGTACTTCATCTCTGGATGTTTGGACAAAGCCAATCCAGAGCGGTTAATTCTGAGAAACTGGTGCATGGACTGGCAGGATTTGAAAGGGGCTTCCCTTTAAGCAATGTTTCCTGCCGAAGCCTATTTTCCTTAACAGTCAATGATTCGCATTTTTTCCATGATCTGTGTTAGCGTCTCTGTTCGCTTCTTTGCACACTTTTCAGCTTTTATTCCGTGAAGTAATTTATTCAGCAAAGCCTGACTGACAGAACACCTTTTCCAAATATGTATTTCGATGTTTGGCCGAATCCTTTCTCATGGATTTGTCATACGAGTGGAAATCGGGAGTCTCCAAACAAACCCATCATGCCTACGAGGATATAGCATTCAACATAGTCTGCACAGATGGGTTCACGAACCTCCTCGTTTCACCGACATCCCCAGAGCACTTCGCAGTCAGCCGAGCCGATTTTTTTCGAGTGCAAATCCACGCGATCCACCAACCCTTGCCAACAAAGGGTCGTATCTGAGGATTGCGCCATCATTCCTGATTGCGCATCCCTTCACAGCTCGATTGGACTTGATTTGGAGTAATGTGCTGGCATATCCGCATACAATAGCCTAGGCCCGTTTTCTAGCACTGCTAATTGATGGGCGAAAAATTCCCGATCCCATGTTATATTCCCGAGTCCTTTCGATCAATGTATAATGGAGTAGAGGGACTTCCCACTCATTATCACCAGCATCGGTAGCAGTAGCCGTGATAAATCCACTGTCGGATGAAGGCTTTCCCCAAACCGACGTCATCTCTCAGCTTTGCGATGCAATAATCCGTTTGGAGTCTGCACACGAGCTCATTGTATTGCTCCATCTCTGCGGTGGACGAAAAAGCGGACTCTCCAGAGTGCTATGTTCTTTGCCTACCACTCGACCACCGGGCATCGTTTCTTCTAGCGGTGCGTCCTGACAAAGCCCTCCCACCTGTTATTTATCTATGAAAAGGAGCTTTTATAGCTCATCGGATTCTTCCAGTATAAAAAAATATTATGCTTCTGATATTTTCTGGGCAGTCAATATGGTGTCTCTGACTTTCGCTCTCTAATCCACGTGTTCGTCTGTCTCTCGGTGTGATTCCAAGCGTGCATCTTCGCCATGCTTCTTTGTACTTTCAGCTTTTGTCCCATTTCCATTGCCAATGTCCTAGCTTCTCATGGACATTTCATCGCAGGTAATATAATGCGGGACAATTCACCAATTGCAAACGTTCTTATTAGGCACGTGATCACACACACATGCGGCCAATTAACCTGCTGTTTCAGTGGCCACGGTACAGATGTCCAGTGAATGTGTTCAAGCCGCTTATTTAGATGAAGGGGGGAAAAAATATATTTGAACAAAACTCCGTTCGAATGAAGCAAAATGTCCCCAAATTATTTTAGCGAAAGCGAGGTCCTAAGCCAGTATAATTGTCAGTGTGGGAACACTTTAGCCGTGTAATGATACTTCAATCCACCCATTGTTGTTTCATTTCGTAGGGCATCCTTTTGTTCAGCAGTCTTGGGAATTAGATTTTATTTGTGGTCAATTTGTTGTTCTCCCGAGAGTAATTTGGAGCGTGGGCAGAAAACGGGGCATCGTTACAAAAATAAAAACCAATTCACACATACACGAGAGAATACTCCATTTCATTCGGCGATACACAACAGCCTGCCTCTTACCTACTTGCTGTACTGTGGAGGATGCTCGTGAAGGACGCTGCTACTGGGCAGTTGGAGGCAGTCGCCCTTCAGCAACAACGGACGGCAGAGGAGCGACGCTCATAACAACGAGCGGAGCGCCGGGTGGCTAAAACGCTCCATGCAAGATCTCACCTCGTGGAGTTGCAATGATCATGAGAACGGTGAGGAATCAGCCCAGAACTACACGGGAGGATCTTGTCAATGGGACCATAGTCACCAAGAAAACAATTGGTAACGCACTATGCCGTGAAGGACTGAAATCCTGCAGCGCCCGCAAGGTCCCCCTGCTCAAGAAAGCACATATACATGCCCGTCTGAAGTTTGCCAATGAACATCTGAATGATTCAGAGGACAACTGGGTGAAAGTGTTATGGTCAGATGAGACCAAAATGGAGCTCTTTGGCATCAACTCAACTCGCCGTGTTTGGAGGAGGAGGAATGCGGCCTATGACCCCAAGAACATCATCCCCACCGTCAAACATGGAGGTGGAAACATGCTTTGGGGGTGTTTTTCTGCTAAGGGGACAGGACAACTTCACCGCTTCACAGGGACGATGGACGGGGCCATGTACCATCAAATCTTTGGTGAGAACCTCCTTCCCTCAGCCAGGGCATTGAAAATGGGTCGTGGATGGGTATTCCAGCATGACAATGACCCAAAACACACGGCCAAGGCAACAAAGGAGTGGCTCAAGAAGAAGCACATTAAGGTCCTGGAGTGGCCTAGCCAGTCTCCAGACCTTAATCCCATAGAAAATCTGTGGAGGGAGCTGAAGGTTCGAGTTGCCAAACGTCAGCCTCGAAACCTTAATGACTTGGAGAAGATCTGCAAAGAGGAGTGGGACAAAATCCCTCCTGAGATGTGTGCAAACCTGGTGGCCAACTACAAGAAACGTCTGACCTCTGTGATTGCCAACAAGGATTTTGCCACCAAGTACTAAGTCAAGTTTTGCAGAGGGGTCAAATACTTATTTCCCTCATTAAAATGCAAATCAATTTATAACATTTTTGACATGCGTTTTTCTGGAATTTGTTGTTGTTATTCTGTCTCTCGCTGTTCAAATAAACCTACCATTAAAATTATAGACTGATCATTTCTTTGTCAGTGGGCAAACGTACAAAATCAGCAGGGGATCAAATACTTTTTTCCCTCACTGTAAGTGTAAAGGTGGATCTTGGTGTCGCTACCCTCTGCTGAGAACTACGTTCTCTCGCAGCCTTTTAACACCTGCAATGCACAGTGCTCGCAATGTATGACAGCCAGATGAACACGCTTCCGACTTCAGTGGCAGCCCAGTATTTAGCTGCGCGAGGGAGAGCGACCCTTGACTTCTGGCTGCAGGGGCTTAGAGAGAGGGAGAGCGCGTTTCTGCTTAAGCCTGATTATGAAGATAGCCTCTCTCTAAGCCTCGGCACTAGGGCCCCATCTGTTGGTGCAGGCTTAATTACGGATTGCTCTCGTTAATTGTTGGGATCTAAGCGACTTCTAAAATCCAGCGGCCACTGCCATCGTTGTGGCCGAGTCATTCCCCGCTGTGCAGTTGCCCCTTAATTCGTCAACATCGAGGATCAAAATGCCGTCGAACTCAGCCGTCGCTTCCTTCCCTCCGCCGAAGTTATCGTCGCAACACAGTAAACACCCGCGGTGTTCTTCACATATCTCTCTTACAATGGCATCACCACCACCACAACCATTGCCTTGGCTCTTGGTCTTTTCCTTGGCCGCTGGCCGCTGACCTCTGGGTGCCATTTCAATCTCCGATTCTGCTTCTGTGACCTGCCCTCCTCCACCCCGCACGCGTGTCCCACCCATCGCAACCGCACCGTGAGAACTCCACCCACGGCGCCTTCTTTGCCACATTCTACTCTCAGCCCTGCGAGCCGCTGACCCAGCAGTCATAGGTGCTCGCGAATATCATTGTTACCGATAATTATTGACTACCAATTATTATCCAATCTACCGGGCATATGTGAACACTACTGGACATCTGTGAAAATGAGCTTCATAGCTCATCGGATTCCTCAAGTATTGGTAAATGTTTTTCATTATGAATTTCCCCAAGCAATGCCCTAACTGGCAAGGTCTCGCTCGCTCAGGTCGAGCCGTAGTCGAATTTGGTGAACGAGCCTGGGTAGCCACGCGGGCTTGCCAGACGTTCCTGGCGCAGGGCCGTGTGGTGTGCCAGGCTGGTGCCACTCAGCACTGACGCCTCCCTGACACCACCGCTGACCTCTGGTTGCCATTTCGAAATTCCCGGTGGGATTTTCTCTCCGGGCCCTCGGCTTTTCTCGCGCAGGAATCCAAACTCTCATTGGTCGATTTGGTCAAACATCCCAAAGCGGGGCTCTTCTAAAAAAAAAGGAGGGTGATTGAGGCTCGGTGAGGCTTTCCTGAGTAAATAAAAGGTCATTATTAATAAGTAATCGCCACTATTTACTTGATTGCCATTTGTTTTCCAATTTCGCAAACGGCGTCGTGTTGTCATTGGGCGCATACTGGAAGTGTCCTTCAGGAGGCTCTCGTGGTGAGCAGAAAACGACACTGGGAGGTGACGTCCAACAGCTGTTTTTATCTTCTTCACACTCGAGAGCGCGCCTTTATTTATATGACCTGCAAAAAGCGTTTGTCACATTGCAGCCAAATATATGTTCTTTGATTGTCAGAGGGGGGAAAAAATAAGACAAATTAAGTGACAAAACTAATTGTATACGATAGAATCGTTTTTGTGTGTGTGTGTGTGCAGTAGTTAGTGACCGGGCTGAGACCATCACCTCGCCACAATCGAGAAACCGGTCTCACCGCGGTCGAGCAGCCGAGAGCCGGATTCAAGCTCAGGTGCTCTGCGTTGCCGGCTCATTGTCTCGGGCACGGAAAATTATGGCCTCCCTGAGCCGCCTGCAATTTGTATTTATTTATTTAACGAAGAAATTCAGCAGAATTGCACGCAAAATTAAATCGGACGTTTAAGGAACGATCGCCAAAACGTGGATCTGGCGGGCCGTTGCTGTTGGCTTACACAAACCTCATCATCCCAAGTGCTCCGTCCTCCCCCAGGCCTCCTCCACCTCGCCCCCGCTAAACCCAAACACCACCTCTCAACGTTACACCCCGCCGCTCCCCCCCCCCCCCCCCATTTCCAAAGCTCTAAATCATGGTCCTGCCGCTCCACACAATCATAATTTGAGGAGCGCGTGTCGGGAGAGCGAGCTAATTCCATGTAGCCATTTCGCGTTTACATCCATCGAGAACCCTTTGCCAAAGCCTCGAGACTGCGTGGTTCGAGACGCAAGACGATGGATGGGTTGGGGTGGTGGACGGAGTTGGTGGATCGCGTTGCGATCGAGCGTCTGACGTGACGAGAGACGTCCGTGCTGTGGCTGGTGCTTGTATTGCTATTGAGTTGTTGTTTTTTTTGCGAGGTATACCTTACCCAGGAAAGCCTCACTCAGTCTCGTGATTTATTTGATGCAGCTTGGAGTGTCCTTCCAAGCTGTCGCAGTCGGGGGAGGGGGGAGGGGAGAAGGTGGGGGCGACGATTGCCATGCGCTGAATCTTCACACGGAGTGACTTGCGGGTAATTTTAAAAATAAAAATTGTTGCATCCAATTTGTTGGGCTGGGAAGTGGGGTAAGTCGATCGTTCATCAACCCGCAGCGACCCAATGCCACGCTGATGTTTACGCACTGCGCTGGTAACCGATTTAATGCCTAGTCGACCTAGGGAAGTTGCCTGGGGGTAAGTTCTGCTGCAAAGGTTCTGTCCAGGCTAGATTCAGGTACCCACTTGCTACTGGGCCCCTATCTTGAACCCAAATCCGTCCATACGTGCTAATGCACACTGCATGTATGCATACATGCATATAGAGTAGAGTATACAATTGCACACATCTATATGAACACATATACACCAGGGATGTGTTCCAGATTGCCGTGTTAATCTGGCAATCTGGCCTTTAAAAAAAGTTGTGACCTTTCTGATGTAAGTGCCTGTTTCGGATTTGTCCGAAAACGTGAGGACGCACTTGACGTCACTTTTTTTTCCAAGTGACAAAAAATATGAAAACCGTTATCGTACAATTGCGTTAACCTTACTAAGATTACAATTAAAATGTGAACATCGTTCATAACATGTGAAAGTTCTTAAAGGGTTAATAACGCTGAAATCTGAATATGGGAAAAAATCAAATCTTAAATTATGCCTCAAACATCCCTAACACATACACAACCACACCAAAGACAAAGATCCCCCGTATAGCCTTATCATACTGTTGGGGCAAGTGCTGTTAGCGAGTAGGACCTATGAAGGCCGGCACGGCACACGTGGGGGTGGGTGGCTAGCACCACGCCCGGCCGCCTTTGTCTCCCTAGTGGCGATGTTTACAGACCGCACCAGCTCCACATTTGAGGCTGAGCCGACCTAGGGGATGCCCATGATCGGTCCAGATAATCGACACCGGTGTTGGCCGTGGAGTCAAACCCGGGCTGCCGGGTTCGTAGCGCAGCGCCCTAACTGTTATACTACCGCTCCCTTCAACTCAACACACGCACACACCCTGCACACGCACACACCCTCCACACACACACCCTGCACACACCCTGCACACACGCACTCTGCACACACACACGCACACACCCTGCACATACACACCCTGCACACACCCTGCACACACGCACACACACCCTGCACACACGCACACCCTGAACACACCCTGCACACACCCTGCACACACACCCTGCACACACCCTGCACACACCCTGCACACACACCCTGCACACACACCCTGCACACCCTGCACACACACACCCTGCACACCCTGCACACACACACCCTGCACACCCTGCACACCATGCAACACACACGCACACACACACCCTACACACACACCCTACACACCCTGCACACACCCTGCACACACACACACACACACACCCTGCACACACACACCCTGCACACACACACACACCCTGCACACACCCTACACACACCCTGCACACACACACACCCTTCACACACACACCCTGCACACACACACCCACCCTGCACACACACACACGCACAGTCCCCACTATTCTTCCATCCCTGCCACCCCTCCGCCCCCGCGGCCTTCCCCCCTCCCCCCATCTCCCCGCCCGCTCCCCTCTCCCCAGAACCCCCTCCACCCTCCCCTCGCCGTGACTCCCGCACTGAGGAGCAGCAGCAGCAGGAGGAGGAGGAGGAAGAGAGGGAAGAGGGAGAGAGAGGGAAGGGGAAAACGATTTCCATCGCGACTGCTCAAGACGCGGTCGCATTCCGGCGCACGCTCTCGGCGGGACGCGCGGCTCTCCCGGCAAGGTGAGGAGGGAGGGGGTTGATTTTGATGCTGCTGCTGATGATGTTGTTGGTGGTGATGATGATGTTGGTGATGGTGTTCATCATGTTGCTTTGCACCTCTATAGACAGGGCCGGCGCAGTAGCAGGCTGTGTATGTCGTGCTCCGGAACGTTATTTGTATGCTGTTGGGATGATGATGATGATGCTGCTGCTACGGAGGTGATGATGATGTAGGGATGATGATGATGATGCAGCGATGATGATGATGAAGATATTGATGGTGAAGCTGCAGGGGTGTTGATGCTGCTGCTGTGGTGGTGGTGGTGATGCAGGGATGATGTAGATTTGATGACCCAGGGATGATGTTGTCGAGGTGATGATGTAGGGATGATGGTTCTGCCGTGGTGAAGGTGATCCAGTGGGGATGCACGGATTATGATGTCGGAATGATGTTATGTGAATAATTATACAGGGGTGATGATACTAATGTAGGAATGTCGATGTAGGAATGACGCTGAAAAGTGATGGTGTAGGGGAGGTGCTGTCGAGGTTATGATGATGTCGTGGCGATGGTGATGATCTCGTGATCATGTTGATGGTGTAGAGTTGATGGTGTGCAGTATTAAAGTATCGTTGCACGGGATGTAGAGTGATGCTGTAGGGATGATTATGATGGCAAAGACGGGGTGATGATGATGATGTACGGATGACGCTGTAGAGAGCGTGATGGTAATGGATGATGATGGTAATGGATGATGATGGTCATGGATGATGATGGTGATTATATGTTCCATCGCTTTTGCGCACATAGCTTTTAGCTGAAGTTGGTACGAGCTATGTTGATGGTGTTGGATGATGGTGATGTGGGAGGTGGTTGTTGTTCTGGTGATGGTGGTGACGGCGGTGGTGGTGTTGTTTGTGGTGTGCGTGGCTGGTGGTGGAGGTGGTAGTGGTGGTGGCAGTGGTGGTGGTGATGATGTTGATTTATAGTGGTGATGCTGGTGGTGGAAGTTGTGGTGGTGGTGGTGATGGTCGTGGCAGTCGTGGTGATGTTGATGATGGTGGTAATGAGGAGGCGATTATTGTTATGTTTGATGATGATGGTGGTGGTTGTGTGATGGTGGTCACGGTGGGTGTTGGTAGTGGTGGACGTTGTTTTGGTGCTGAACAGTGTGATGGAGATAGGTGGCGAGTGATGATGGATGGACGTTTCTGTTGTGGTGATCGTGTTTTTTGGCGGTTCTGACGGTGGTGATGTCAATTCTGGTTGTGATGGGTGGCAGCGGTTGTTGTGGTGGTGGTTGTGATGGGTGGCATCGGTTGTTGTGGTGGTGGTGGTGGAGATGTTGGTCGTGGCGGTGGCAATCGTGGTGATGTCCTGGTGGTGGTGGTGGTGGTGATGGGGGGTTGTTGTTGTTGTTGTCGTCGTGGTGATTGTAAGGTTGGTGTTTGTATTGTTCGTTGTGGCAGTGGTGATGATGATGATGATGTTGATTGTGGTGGTGGTGGTGGTGGCAGTGACGGTAATGTTGATGTATAGCCGTGATGTTGATTGTGGTGGTGGTGATGATGATGATGTTGATTGTGGCGGTGGTGGTGGCAGTGACGGTAATGTTGATGTATAGCCGTGATGTTGATTGTGGTGGTGGTGATGATGATGATGTTGATTGTGGCGGTGGTGGTGGCAGTGACGTAATGTTGATGTATAGCCGTGATGTTGATTGTGGTGGTGGTGATGATGATGATGTTGATTGTGGCGGTGGTGGTGGCAGTGACGGTAATGTTGATGTATAGCCGTGATGTTGATTGTGGTGGTGGTGATGATGATGATGATGTTGATTGTGGTGGTGGTGGTGGTGGTGGCAGCGGTTGTGAAGGCAATAATAGTGGCGGTGGTGGTGGCGATGTTTGTGATGGGTGGCAGATATTATTATGGGATGATTGTGGTGATCTTGGTTGGTGGCAGTCCGAGTGTTGTTGCAGTGGTGGTGGTGGAATTTATCGTGGCGATATCGATGTGCAAGTGAAGTTGTTTCGGTGGTGGTGGTGGTGATGATGGTGCTGGTAGTGGTGGTTGTGTTACTGGTGGTGATGGTGGTTGTTGTTGTCGTTGTTGTGGTGTAACACTTTGTTTGTAGCGTTGTTGTTATTGGTGGTACTGGTGGTGGTTTTTACGTTGGCCGTAGTGGTTGGTGGTGGTGGTGGTGTTGGGGGAGCGGTAGTGCAGTGGTTAGCGCAGCGGATTCACGAACCCGGCGACCCAAGTTGGATTCCCGCTCACGGCCACCAACAACACCAGTGGCGGTTATCTGAACCGGTCCTAGGCCTCCCCTAGGTCGACTCAGCCTCTAAGGAGTAGCTGGTGTGGTGTGTAAACATCGCCACCAGGGAGACAAAGGCGGCCGGGCGTGGTGCTGAACACCCACCCCTAATAATAATGAAGGCCGTACCAGCCAGCCCTCATGAATAGGTGCTCGCAAACAGCACGTGTCCTAATTGTCTGTTAAAGGCTGTGGTGGTGGTGTACAATGCTATTGTGGTGGTGGTGTACAATGCTATTGTGGTGGTGGTGTACAATGCTATTGTGGTGGTGGTGTACAATGCTATTGGCAATGCAATGGTGGTGGTGGTGTACAATGATGTGGTGGTGGTGGTGTACAATGCTGTGGTGGTGCTGTTACAATGATGTGGTGGTGGTGTACACTGCTGTGGTGGTGGTGGTGGTGTACACTGCTATGGGGGTGGTGGTGTACAATGCTGTGGTGGTGTACAATGCTATTGTGGTGGTGGTGGTGGTGTACAATGATGTGGTGGTGGTGACCGCTGTTTATTGCTGCTCTTACAGTGGCTATGGAAGCAGCAGCAGCAGAAGCGTGAGAGACGAGAGGCATGGCTGGGTGCTTGATGGTTGTTGCCCCCTTGCTTATGCGGCACTCCCCCCCTCTCCACCATCACCACCACCACCACCAGCAAGCAGCAGCAGCAGCAAGCACACGAGCCGCTCGCTGTCGCATATAAACACTGCAGATTCCCTCCGTGATGATGTCTCATAGCTCAGCCACTCTCTCTCCAATTCCCGCTCTCTTCCTCTCTCCCTGGTTGCCTCTCTTATCCGAGTCCCCTCTCTACTATCCTGCCCCCCCCCTCTCTCTCCTATCCTGCTCACCCCCCCCCCTTCTCTGTCCGCTTCACTCCTCGCATCTTGCCACCCCGTCTCTCTCCCCCGTCTCTCTCCTAGTCCCTCTCTCGCCTAGTCCCTCTCTCTCCTAGTCTCTCTCCTAGTCTCTCTCTCCTAGTCCCTCTCTCTCCTAGTCCCTCTCTCTCCTAGTCCCTCTCTCTCCTAGTCCCTCTCTCTCCTAGTCCCTCTCTCTCCTAGTCCCTCTCTCTCTTAGTCCCTCTCTCTCCTAGCCCCTCTCTCTCCTAGTCCCTCTCTCTCCTAGTCCCTCTCCTAGTCCCTCTCTCTCCTAGTCCCGTCTCTCTCCTAGTCCCTCTCTCCTAGTCCCTCTCTCCCCTAGTCCCTCTCTCTCCTAGTCCCTCTCTCTCCTAGTCCCTCTCTCTCCTAGTCCCTCTCTCTCCTAGTCCCTCTCTCTCCTAGTCCCTCTCTCTCTCTCTCTCCTAGTCCCTCTCACTCCTAGTCTCTCTCTCTCTCCTAGTCCCTCTCTCTCCTAGTCCCTCTCTCTCCTAGTCCCTCTCTCTCCTAGTCCCTCTCTCTCCTAGTCCCTCTCTCTCCTAGTCCCTCTCTCTCCTAGTCCCTCTCTCTCCTAGTCCCTCTCTCTCCTAGCCCCTCTCTCTCTCTCTCTCCTAGTCCCTCTCTCTCCTAGTCCCTCTCTCTCCTAGTCCCTTTCTCTCTCCTAGTCCCTCTCTCTCCTAGTCCCGTCTCTCTCCTAGTACCTCTCTCTCCTAGTCCCTCTCTCCCCTAGTCCCTCTCTCTCCTAGTCCCTCTCTCTCCTAGTCCCTCTCTCTCCTAGTCCCTCTCTCTCCTAGTCCCTCTCTCTCCTAGTCCCTCTCTCTCCTAGTCCCTCTCTCTCCTAGTCCCTCTCTCTCCTAGTCCCTCTCTCTCCTAGTCCCTCTCTCTCCTAGTCCCTCTCTCTCTCCTAGTCCCTCTCTCTCTCCTAGTCCCTCTCTCTCTCCTAGTCCCTCTCTCTCTCCTAGTCCCTCTCTCTCTCTCCTAGTCCCTCTCTCTCCTAGTCCCTCTCTCTCCTAGTCCCTCTCTCTCCTAGTCCCTCTCTCTTATCCTCCTCGCTTCCCCCTCTCTCTCGCTTCACTACCCTCCTCTTGCCTCTCCTCATCCTTTTTCCTCCCTTTCTCTCCTCTCATTTCTTAACCCCTCCTGGTGGCCCCACCTCTCCGCTCTCCTCTCCTTCACCCTCCTCAGCTTTCACTTTCCCACCACTCTCCTTTCCGTCTCCCATCTCCTCCTCTCTGCTCCTCTCTCTACTCCTTTCGCCCACTCTCTCCTCTCTCTCTTTTTTTTACGATCAGAGGAAACAAGAAGATGCTCGGTGTAGTCGGCACTTTGCTCCGTTCATCATTTAGTTTTTTTGTTTTTTTATGCTTTGCTTTATGTAACCCCCCCCCCCCCCTTTTAAATGAAAGAACCAACAAAATATAGTTTTCTTTTTTTTCTGCTCTCCTTACCCCTTCCCTCTCTCTCTCTACCCCCCTCTCTGCCCCTCCTCTCTCTCTACCCCCCTCTCTGCCCCATCTCTCTCTGCCCCCTCTCTTCCTACTCCATTTCGCTCTCTCTCGCTCACTCTCTCGCTCTCTCTTTTTTTAATAACTACGACAAGTGCTGCATCTGCACGCAGCCCTTCCCACAGTCAAACGGCCTCCGACGGGTAGCTTATATCTGCATGCAGAGCTCTCCGTCATCTGCCACCGAGCACACGGCCTCCTCCAGCGCCCACTGCTCCTTGAAGGCCGGCACGGCGTGGGTCAGCCGCGCATGGCGGAACTCCAGCCACACCCTGGCTCCGACCAGAGCGCGGAAGATGCCCAGGTTGCTAGCCGGACGTTGCCCCTCCAGGGCCGCCTTCCTCGCCCTGTATCTCCTCACCTGACTCTCTCTCTCTTTTGTTTACGATCAGAGGAAACAAGAAGATGCTCGGTGTAGTCGGCACTTTGCTTCGTTCATCATTTCGTTTTTTTCCATGCTTTGCTTTATGTAAACCCCCCCCCCCCCTTTTTAAATGAAAGATTTCACAAAATATGTCTTGCTCTGCTCTCCTTACCCCCCCCCCTCTCTCTCTACCCCCTCTCTCTCCTTCTACCCCCTCTCTCTACTCCCCCCCCCTCTCTCTCTCTACCCCCTCTCTCTCTACCCCCTCTCTCTACCCCCCCTCTCTCTCTCTACCCCCTCTCTCTTTATCCCCTCTCTCTACCCCCTCTCTCTCTCTCTACCCCCTCTCTCTCTACCCCCCTCTCTCTCTACCTACTCCATGTCTATGTTCCCCCTCTCCCCCCCCCCCTTGCTCCTCGCCGCTCCCTCCTTTTTCTTGACTTTCGAGCCAAAATCCACTTGGATTTTAATGGCTCGAGAACCTGGTTCAATCGATCAATGAGACTCCCCCCGGTTGCCTTCACAGTGGCGCACAAACACACACTTTGCCTTGCATTCTCGCTCTCTCTCTCTTTTCATTTACCTCTCTCCTCACTTATCTCCTCTCCACTTCACGACAGCGATAATAATGCACAAGGTACGGCACCGTTATGTCTATCCACTGCTGGATGAATGGGGGCCACCCCCCCCCCCCTCTTCCCTCACCCTGCATGTGTGGGTCGACCATACTTCACCGCTCCGGTCCGTGTGCGTTGGTGAAAGCGGGGAGAATAAAAGTTGGAGCATAGCACGGTGCACCAATGGATAGTGATAGTATTGTCGTGAATTTATAACAAAAAAATAACAATAGTTTATTAATGTAACTACTCGGATTATAGTAATCATTTTGTGATGTGTGTAGATGAAAGCACAGGGCTTGTACAGGAGTCGAACATTAACTCTCAACCCCGTGGGCAGACGCAACGACTGGAGGAGCTGAAGCGACAAAGACTCAAGAAGCAGCGGCAGCGGCAGCGAAATAAATTCCACCAACACAAATGCCGGCATCAGCAACAGCATGGTCGTGAGCAATATCAGCAGCAGCTAGTATCCTCGGCAAATTGTAGCATCGTCACCTTCATTGTCGTCGTCGTCATGATCGTCATCGCAAGCGACAACAGGAAGCAGTCGTAGGTAGCAGAGGTATCGTCAGCAGCAGTGGCATCGTTATCGATCACGACAGCATCGGTGCCGACAGCATCGGTGCCAACGGCATCCTCACCACCACCAACAACGTCACCATCATTATCAAGAGCATTAGCAGTATCGTCGGCCATCATCACCATCAAGAGTAGCAACATTACCATCATGAGTTGTAAGTAGCAACAGCGGAATCACTATCATAAGCATCATCGGCGAGCGTCACCATCCTCTGTAACTTCGGCATCAGCCTAATCGTTATCAGCAGCAGCAGTATCACTATCGAAAGCAGATGCTTCATCATCAACTTCATCCTTATTAGATGCAACATCACCACAATTAACACCACGATCATCACTACCACTGGCATTGACGCCACCATCACCACCGCGACCAGCGCCGCCGCTGCCGCCACCACCACCACCAACATCGCCACCGCTGCCGCTGCCGCCACCACCACCACCAACATCGCCACCACCGCCGCCACTGCCGCACCATGCCAGAGCAAAGCAACGACTACCGCGTGGTGGTGTTCGGCGCCGGCGGCGTGGGCAAGAGCTCGCTGGTGCTGCGCTTCGTGCGCGGAACGTTCCGCGAGAGCTACATCCCCACCGTGGAGGACACCTACCGACAGGTATATGTTCCGCGAGAGCTACATCCACCACTGTGGAGGACACCTACCACTAGGTATTTGTTCCGCGAGAGCTACATCCACCACCGTGGAGGACACCTACCGACAGGTATTTGTACCGCGAGGCCGTCGGGCCGCTTGGAATAAAACAAATCTAAAACTATGAAACTAAACTCGCGAACTGTTTTTTTGTATTTTAGCAGGTAAAGCACACTGAGCTATACCCTATCGCTTTTTTTTTAGAAGCGACCTGGCCACAAATGATAGCTCAACGAAGTGGCTTATCGCTGCGTGGAAATTTAGAGCAGCCCAAACACTCTGAACGCGTGACGTTGATTCTAAATGTGGAGGGAAAAACCGGAGGACCCGGGAAAAAAATCCACACGACCACGGGGAGAGAGAGAGGGAGAGACACGCAAACTCCAAATATACAACAGGCATCAGGATTGGGATGATACCCACGACCTCCTGTATACCAGGCGAGGTAGTTAACATTTCGCCACCGCGCGTGGAGGCACGGAACAGAAATCCGCTCGTATATATTATTGTTCTATCGCCGCTTTTCGTGGCCGTAGTAAAGCTGCCAAACCCCTACCACCCATCGTCTCCACCCACCACCACTCCTGTTGCTGCGAGCACACTCCCCCACCACCACCGCTACCCAAACCAGCACAACCCTGAGTTTGTAGGAAGTAAACAGGAAGAGGTGGGGCCTATATAGGAAGGTGCCGGGTCCTAAAGAGGTTGAACCTCCATGGTTGTTTAAGACAAATAAACGCACGGAATCAAATTCGTGCAGTCGGCAGCGGCAATGCCTTTGATGCGGCCACAGGCCAACAAGACTATGTGGTCACCCAAGTTTGGCGTGCCGGGAACATGACTAATCTGGTTCGGTGAAGACTCACACACAGCCCCACAAACTGACATGAAGCTCCATAGACTGCATAGAGAATCACAGACTCGCATAGAAACCCACAGACTGGCATAGAGACCTGTATACTCGCAAATAAGTCCATAAACATACGAAGAGCCCCATAGGCTCACACGTAGAGAGTCATATACTCACGTAGAGCACCACGGACTCGCATAAAAACCCGTAGGCTCGCATAGAGATGCATAAACACACATAGAGACTCATAGGCTCACGCGTGGATCCACGTACCCGCACAGAGATCCATAAACATACGTAGAATGACAGATGCACACGGACCCATCGACGTACATAGAGACCCACAGGCTTGCAAGTAGACCCACGTGTGCAGGCACTCGCACAGAGACCCTCGGTCCGATTCGGCGAAGACTCCCTCCGCAGCAGACGTCACAGGCAGAGAGGCTCGCGGCGGAAGGACGGACGAGACCGACGGTTGCTCGCTCTGCCCACCCACCCCCTGCCCCCACCCCTCCCGCAGGTGATCAGCTGCGACAAGAGCATCTGCACGCTGCAGATCACCGACACGACGGGCTCGCACCAGTTCCCCGCCATGCAGCGGCTGTCGATCTCGCGGGGCCACGCGTTCGTGCTCGTCTACTCGATCGCGAGCCGCCAGTCGCTGGAGGAGCTGAGGCCCATCTACGAGGTGATCTGCTCGCTCAAGGGCGACACGGAGGCCGTGCCCATCATGCTGGTGGGCAACAAGTGCGACGAGACGACCCGCGAGGTGCAGACGGCGGAGGGCGAGGCGCAGGCCAAGGCCTGGAGGTGCGCCTTCATGGAGACGTCGGCCAAGATGGACTACAACGTGCGCGAGCTCTTCCAGGAGCTGCTCAACCTGGAGAAGAGGAGGAACGTGAGCCTCCACGTGGAGGGAAAGAAGTCCCGCGCGGAGGGCGGCAAGAAGGAGAGGATGAAGGGCAAGTGCGTCGTCATGTAAGAGGGGATAGGGAAGACAACGACGATGATGAGAAGAATAATGGCCAAATTACTTTGATGAAGAGGTAGAACTTTGATGACGATAGGAATGGCCCAATGGTGACCACAAGGAAATCCTCATTATACAGAGGATGACGATGGCACATTTGTAGCGGAGGAAAACCGGTGGACAGAACTTAGTGATTGAAGGTGGTCAAGAGGGATTATTTTTATTTTATATTTTATTTTTATTGTTGTTGTTGTTCTTGCTTGTCTATATTTTTGTTTATTTTTAACTGAACACATTGAGATGTGCCCAATCTTCAGCAAAGGACCTCGAAAACAAACGCCTGATGTGCAATATGGGATATTTATACGGCTTAAAAGGACGTCGGTTCTTTTTTTTAAGTTTAGTGCTCTTAACAGTGAGAGGGATCTCATGTAACGCTTCTAGAGGACGAACCTGTTGGGTTCACCACTTCAGAGCCTCCGACCTCGTGGGTTCAGTTCCCCTCCCACACGGGGTGGTCCCCAAGCTGCCCCGCGTGTTCGCCGCGGGAGCGTCGCTCCCCACGCAGCGCTGCACGCTTCGGCGTCAACATCGACACCATCATCACCATTAACATGACCCCTGCCATCGTTATTTCCACTACCATAATCATCGCATCCATCGTCGTCACATCATCAGTGAGTATAACTACCATCGTCAACATCACCACGGTCATAAGCAGGACCGTGATCATCATCATTTCCATCAACGTCACCACCGTCGTCGTCGTCGTCACCACTGCCATGATCAACATCACCGCCATCATCATCATTACCATCAACGTCACCACCGCCACCGTCATCGTCACCACTGCCATGATCAACATCACCGCCATCATCATCATTACCATCAACGTCACCACCGCCGTCGTCGTCGTCACCACTGCCATGATCAACATCACCGCCATCATCATCATTTCCATCCCTCCTGGACAGAGACACACGTGCCTGCAGGACCACCTCCAGAGATTTGGGCTCGGCAGCAACGAGAGATCGATTTATGCGGTCGGCAGGGAGTGTAACCCATTGCTTTTTTCGGTTTGGTTTGGATTAAATCCAAAACCAATTGAACCGGTCGCAATTCAACAGGTTCAAGATAGACTCTCACGGGTTGATTCCGGTTTTACCGATTTTAAAACAAACAATAGTCTCAGCCGGTTCAGTTTACAAAGTGTGGGTTAATGCATTCGACGTTGTACATCATCTTATCTGATTCATAGAGTCCCTTCACTCGAGGCGCTTGACGCTGCTTACAAAACGATGACCGGATGATGTCGTTGGCAGGGGTATGCGACAAGTGTTGAGGAGGAATGAGCGACAGCGATAGAGGAGTACTTCGGGATCAAGAAAAAGGATAGGGGAGGGACGGGAAGGAGTGGAGGTGCGAGGGGAGGAGAAGAGGACAATAATTGGCAACATGAGAAGAGGTGTGTTTTAAGAGAGGAACAGATCAAGGTTAAGGAGGGAGACTGTTTAATGTACAGGGCAGTGTTAAGCTATGGTAGTGTTGAGTCTATCGGCAGTGTTGAGTCTATGGGCAGTGTTAGTATATGGTACAGTGTTGAGTCTATGGTACAGTGTTGAGTCTATGGTGCAGTGTTGAGGATATGGTGCAGTGTTGAGACTATGGTGCAGTGTTGAGGATATGGTGCAGTGTTGAGGATATGGTGCAGTGTTGAGGATATGGTGCAGTGTTGAGGATATGGTGCAGTGTTGAGACTATGGTGCAGTGTTGAGTCTATGGTGCAGTGTTGAGTCTATGGTGCAGTTTTGAGTCTATGGGCAATGTTGAGTCTATGGGTAGTGTTGAGTCTATGTGCAGTGTTACTCAATGTAGAGGGGAGGTTAATTCTAGTGGAGGGGTTCAAGGAGTCAGAAGGACCGTAACAGGATTGGGCAGGGTGTTACCCCCAGTTAATGCGCATGCCATACGTTTGCCTTTTTTAAATATCGAAATTATTATTGACTCCAGTGTAACCTTGCCTTCCAATCGCCAAAAAATTATAATTTCGCACAGGGTCAACACAGCAGGGATAATTACTTGGACTCATTTTCAGTGCCTGTGTTTATCTCCCTTTTGTCTGGAATTTGGTGATTTGGTCTGTACGAATGTTGGACTTCTTTCGCACCGTACGTAACCAACTGTGCTAATCGGAGGTGGTCAAGGGCTGAGTAACAGTAATAATGCAACCAATTACAATAGGGTTAGACTGGCTTCGGTAGAGAGCAACAGAGCTCCCCAATTTAAGATATTTACTTTGAATCCCAAGGGTTAACTGGGCTCCATCATCACCATTACCATCATCACCACCATCATCATCACCATCATCATCTCTGCAGAGTCGATCAACTACAGGACCACTCGGCGTGGGAAGTGAACGGCGATCACCGTGCCGAGGTCAGGTACATCCGTAATTGGCACGGAATGTCCGCCGATGGCTGTCGGACGATGAACGTATGACACATTTGAAGTCTGGGGGGACGACGACGACACTTCGGTTGAAGAAGTGATTGTGTTGTTTATTTTTTATGTGGAATCGCACCCTTGTGTATTCTCGAGGGAAACACGTGGATCTGATTGTTTTGTATTGCATCACAAAGCCCACGATGGTTACTATGACTACTGCTGATGACGACGATGACATCGACACACGTCTGGCCAATCGCTCCCAGCCCTTGCACGCGGTGTCACCCCCTCCAATATTGTGTAAATCCAGATCACATGCCGAGAGACGTATACACCCCCCCCATGTATGCCGGTCTCTCATCACCACACGCGTCCCCATCCCTCATACTCCCGTCTACCACTGCCGCACTCTCGGGGTAGGGTTGGGCAACTTGAAAGTCCTGGCGTGGCAGCACGTGGCTCGCGTGAAGGCGTTGTAGGTGTAACGAGGTCGCGACGGAGGAGGGCGGAAGCCATGTGATGCTGATGATGAGACGAAGAGAGTCCTTGACGGACAAGGTTGTGTAGCAAGGGGAAGACCTCGTGGTGGTGGTGGTGGTGATGAGATGGTAATGTTTGGTATTGAGCTTGCAACAACGTTGAGTTCTAGCAGAAGGAAGGAAGCGATGGCGAGATGAGGTGGCATCGACTCCTGACCGTGGCCACGCGGCTTGCATGTTGCATTGGTATATATTTTTTCTAGGGACATGATGACAACAATAATAATAATGACAACAATCATGACGTAAATTATTTATTTAGCCACAAAGATTGTTTCCTGCCACATGTAAAATAAACACTTGTCGTTAATTGGCCGAAAACATCTTGAAATAAAAACCCAATGTAGCAGCAGCGGGACCCTCCTGCAAAAATAACAAATAAATGATCGCATTCAAAGCTAAAATATATAATAGGCTCTGATTCCGTCACTGGCTACTTGTACGTATGTCGGTTGAACTTATTTCACACCGTACGTAGCCAACCGTGCTAATCGGAGGTGCTTCTTCAGAGCACGTGCCGAGTCTCAAGACTCGTGCTCAGGAGAGTCATGCACTCGGATGTTTGGCCAATTACGATGTCAGTGAATCTTCTCCTTTACACGCACACAGTCCAAATTGTATGTAACTTATGGGGGGGGGGGGCAGTGGTAACTGTGTCTGTGTTTGTTGCACGGAGAAGCACGTGGGCTGGTGTCTAACCTATACTCTGAAGCACGAGGCCTATACCCTACCTGTATGCTATAATCTTGTTTTGTACTCAGTGGGGGAGGGGGGGGGGTGCTGACGTGCTGAAGTTTCATGCGACCGGTCCAATGTACCGTAATGTGTGCTCTCTATTTAATTAATCAACTCGTGAGGAAGGGGAGGGTTTCTCAATCCCATATACATTTATGGGAATCATAAATTCACATGTGCATTCATGGGATCATAAAATCCCATGTACATTTATGAGATCATAAAATCCCATACACATGGGGTACAAAAAGACTCCATATAGATGTATATGGGATCATACAATCCCATATACATTTATGGGAATCATAAATTCACGTGCATTTTTGGGATTATAAAATCCCATGTACATTTATGAGAACATAAAATCCCATACACATGGGGTACAAAAATTCCCATATAGATGTATGGGATCTAACAATCCCATATACATTGATGTGGTCATAGAATCCCATACACATTTATGAAATCATAAAATCCCAAGACATTTATGATGTCACATATTGAAAAAAATCTCCACGCGCGTGTTTGGAATGGGACTGCACCGTGTACATTTATGGTGATCAGAAAACTCCTACGTGCGGTATTATTTATGGTATCGGACAACGCCGTGTGCATGTACGGGATCAATAAACCCACCGGGCACAATAAGTCTGCACGTGGCGGTGGGGGAGCGATGGATACCGAAGCGTTCGTGGCGCTGAGATTCACCAACCCCCACCGTTCCCTCGGCGGTGGCGGCGATCCGGACCTCACGTTTCGCCGTCGGTTATTTCGAATGAAAATTCATCTGTTTTTTTTTTTGGTCTCGGCGATGTCGTGTCCGATTCGTACCCACCCGTGCGATCTTGTCTGTGTGTGTCCTGTCTGTACGTCTCTTCTCGGTTGCCTTGTCCCCGTACTGCCCGTCCCGCTTGTACCGCTCGGCTCATTCTGTGTCCGTCTAAATTTGGTTTCTCTCTCCCTCGTTCCATGAGCCCCAAAAAGGGTCACGTGTTGCATCATCGATTTTGCGAAAATCGAGAACGAGCAGTCCTCGCACGCACGGTTCGTCGAAGCCTGCATCGTGATTTATAAAGCGATTGATCGATTAATCGCCGCATCCCGTAACACGCGGACACAGGGGGATTCACACGCACACGCTGTGCTGGTGTTTATTACGTGCGCAGTGTGTGGGTAGTATCCGTGTGTGTGTGTGTGTGCGTGCGTGTGTTGCATCAAATGACAAGTGGGAAATTAAAGACAGGCCCTCCCGAGTGCGTCTGTGGCCATGCAACCGAAACTGCGGACCTTATCGTAAACCCAAGTGTGGTCTGCGCCCCTTCAACAGAGGAGGAGGAACAGCGAAACGACACCAACTCTCTCTCTCTCTCCTGAAGCCCCTCTCGCCGTGGCCAGCAGCGGCACCTCGACATTGGCATCGAGCTCCTGGACCACCTTGCCCTGCGCAATAGTCGAAGAACGTGCTGAGATCCTACCAATGCTTCAAGCGCAGTTTG